CATGATCACGTTGTATACAGAGGGAGCATCTACGACTAGGAATTCTGCCATGATGCTCCGCGCTGCTCGGCCTTTGCCGATGGTGACGGGAAGCCGAATCTTCCCATCTGGGTATGATGAAGAGCCATTGAATCCCGATATCGGGTATGTCACCGGTGTCAAGTGCTTGGCTTCCATCTTCAGCTGGTCGAATGCTCCTCGGAAAAGGATATTCGCCCCGCTACCGCCGTCGACGAGAGTCCGCCAAACGTTGCGGTTTGCGATGCCCATCACTATTACCAGTGGGTCATCATGGGGGTATGCCACCCCCTTGCAGTCTTCGGCTGTGAACAGGATGTTCGGCACCGGAGACTGAGTGACTTGAAGCTCGGCATGATTTACTTGGTGGGTCAGACCCCTCAAGTGGCGCTTGGCCGCGCTTCGGGAGGTTCCCTCGGAGATGACAAGAATTTCAAGGGAATCCTTGTCTTGTTGTTGCTTGTCCTTTTTCCGAGGGAAGTCCACATTTTGCCGAGGATCCCTTTCGGCCTCCTCGCGGTGACCCGCAAGGTATTTTCTCAAGTGGCCCTTTCGAACCAAATCTTCAATCTGGTCCTTTAGCTGCAGGAAATCTTCGGTGCGATGTCCAGTAGACTCATGGAACTCGCACCATCGGTTCTTGCCCTTTTGCTGATGCCATGGTGGGAGTTGTCGGGGCTTCTTGAATCTCCCCTCGTCCTTCGTCGTGCTGAAGATCTTTGCATGAGGGAGGGTGAGAGGAGTATACGAATCGTACCTCCCCGAATAGGGGACGTACCTTTCCTTCTTTGGCTCGGCAGCCGAGGACGGTTCTGAGGCCTTGGCCTTCCCTTTCCTCGGTGCCGAAATTTCGGACAATTGTCCTTTCGGCTTACCAGCCCCTGAACGGGGTTGAGACCTCGCCTTGTTCCACTCTTCGGCCCCGGATGAATTTGTCCGAGGCTTCCAGAGCTTCCTCTAGGGTCTACGGAGTGTGCATGACCATGAAGTCAAGAAACTTTCCTGTCTGGAGGCCATTCCGTAGTGCGAACACGGCGAGGCTTTGATCTAGACTCGTAATTCTGGATGACTCGTTGCTGAAGTGAGTCAAGTATTCGCGGAGGCTCTCGTCTTCGGCTTGCTGCAAACCCATGAGCTCTGCAGTCGTTTTCTCGCGGCGATTTGCCGTGGAAAACTTGCTCTTGAATTTGTTGGAAAGGTCATCCCAACCGGTGATAGAGCCTTCCTTGATCCCTTTGGTGATCCACGATTGTGCAACACCTTTGAGGGTCGTTGGGAAGTATTTGCACCAAGTAGCCTCGGACCTTGGATTGAGATACATGTGCCCCTCATAGGAGGCAATGTGATCTTTTGGGTCCGAGGTACCGTCATAGGTGATGTGCGCCGGTATTTTCACCGTTGGCACATGCTCTTCCAGTATCCAGCTTTGGAAGGGCGAGCTCGTCGGGACCATAACAGCCTTCCCTCTGTGCTCGGCCGATGGGACCTCGCTTCTCCCTCTTAAAGAGGTGGAAGTGGTTTTCGTCCCAGGCCGAGGCGATTCCAGATACGCTCCAGCCTTGGTATCTTCCGGGAAGGTGAGACGGCTATGCACGTCCATCTCCCTGGGGCCTAAGCGTTCGAGAACGCTTCGGCGGGCTGCCTTCGGGATTTCGGAGGTAGTATTGCTGCTCCGGAAACTCATTGAGTTCTCAGCTCCGGAGTGGTCGAAGAATTGTGGATTCTTCTTCCTCTCTTTGCTGGAGTTCCAGGTGTCTTCCTGCCACCTTTGCCCAAGCTCCTTATAAGGCGGAACTGGTCCGTCCCTCTCTTCACCGATCCTCCTTCTCAGATTTCTCTACGGAAGAGAGGAAGATTCAGGTGGGGTTGGCTGGAGTGGAGCTCCTTGGGCTTTTAGGAACTCCATACAGACTGCCACGGCCCGGGCCACTTCCTCCGTAGAGGGCCCCGAAGGAGGGGTGTCTTTCTGCTGGGACCGTGAGAGCTCACTGCTGCGGCGTAAAAGGCTCCTCGCATTAGACCCACTTTGCCTCGGCGAGGGCTTTTGCTGCTGAGTGTGGTGCGAGGGCGGATTTATTGAAGCTTCCCTCTCTTGAGAGCTGGGAGCCCTTGACGATGGAGTGGAGGGGGATGAAGGTTCCGGTTCGGGAGACATTGGACGAGGCTCCCTCATCGTGATCATCTCCCTCTCCCTCCTCGAGGAGGTAGCACCACCTCTCTTCTTGGCACTTTTCACGCTTTTCCCACATTTCGTCATGTGGAACTAAGGTGACGTATGTTTGGCGTGATTTTTTGTATCTTCCCCACAGACGGCACCAAATTGTTTCGGTACGAAAACAATGGGGCCTTCGGCAGGCCCAGAATGGGTGAAGAAGACGAATCTCGGTCTAAGTAATGCTGGAGCCGAGGGTTTCCTGCACAGCACAAAACACGTAAACTGGCCTCGGGGGTGGTGCCGAGGAAGGCCCCTCCGATGCTGAAGTCAGTACAGTGTATATGGTCAGAGGAAGAAAGCTGTGCAAGATAGTTAATGCTTGAGGCTTCTTGTGAATGAATGTAATTGTGTTGAAATGAAAGCTTTTATACCTTTGTCCATTTGACTTGATTGGGCTTGATCAGCCAAATGGGCTGCCATTTGACTGGGCCTTGCTACTGTTGACTTGGCAAATTGCATGGAAGGTTGAACCTTTAAGACTGGGCTTTAACTATTTTCATTTATGGACTGGGCCCAATTGTTGGCATTTTGGACCCCAAACATATTGTATGAAGTGATAATTTTCTTGGCATCATAATTGAAAAACATTCACGAAGTACTAGACCACTTTTCATCACAATGATGATTCCAAAATCTATTAATTATTACTAAAACAAATATTGTTGATGTCATCACAATCCACATGTCATTTATATAATAGATTTTTTTCCGTCTAAATATAAGGATGATGTTTTTTTTTTTTTTTGGAGCTACCATATTTAACAATTTGAAATTTAAATATTAAAAGCTTCTACATTACAATTACAACCTATCAATTTATCTTTAAAAAATGAAACAATTGTAAATAACACACTCGGACTCTTATATTGAAATATGTATTAGGCGACGATGAATAGGTATTATATCATAATTTTGATGAAAATCTAAAACTATAAAATTACAAATATGTTTATATAAGGTGCATAATTCTTACTTATATTTATCTATTTTTTTTAAATATAAAATTTATAAAAATAGATTTTATATAAACCGCATCTCATGGGTTCACCTAGTAATAAAATTATGAGCTTTACCAATTGTTAATTGCATAAATTAAATATTTGAAAATTCGCATCCAAAAAAAAAAAAAAAAAAAAAAAAAAAAAATGAAAAATTAAATGATCATTATCCTTAACTTCAGTCCGACTAAGAATTGGACCGTTATCCTCTACAATTCTACATAGATTACTCTACTTTTACTTGTCATCTAAGAACTACGAAGTACTATAAACAAAACTACAAAATATGAAGTACTATATAGCAAGAATATGGGTCTGAAAAAGTTGACCAAGAATATACCAAGACATGTGCATCACTCTTTAAGGACCATCCTACTAATCCAAGGCATCTAATTAGTGTTATTCCATAAATATATGATATATACTTTCGTATAAATAATACTATAGTCTTATCGTATTGAAATTATTTGAATGAGACAATTATGGAAGTTTATTAATCAATATAAACTTAGAATAACATTCACGTCAATGAATGTCTTTATGTGTGCTAATTATTTCATATTAAAATCGTAGTAATAGACATAGATTGTAGGCGCAGATAGGACTCAAATAAACTTATACTTCATATTGTTTTTACAAGAAATTTATAATTGAAAAAAAGCCAACTCACTACTCAAATAAGGAGTATGACTCAAGTTTTCTTAAAAAAAAATAAAAATAAATTAGTATGACTTAAGTTGACCTGTTTCGGGTTGTTCGACTTTGATTGTCAGTTTGTCACAATTTTTTCAAAAAAAAAAAAAAAAAAAAAAAAGCTCTAAAAAGCTAATAAGAATTAAGCAAATATCTAAAAATTCTGACATTTTTTTGCTCTTCAATGAAATACAATAAGGTATGTAAAATTAGAAAAATAGTTTTAAAAAATGGAAAAAAAAAAAAAGCTATTCTATTCCATAAAATATTAACTTTATTAGGTGGCTACGCTTAGTCATAACCATATTCTTTCCTACTCTATGTTATGGAGCATTTATATGCTTACTTGCAATACTTAAGGCATGGAAAATGAAAGTCATGCGACAAACTTTTAAAAAGGGGTAAACTAAAGTTAGAAAAGACATGAGAATTATATTAACAGAAATTTCTTATGTCATCTAATTAAAAAATTTGAATTGATACATAAAATACAATTATGTTAAGCAAAATATTCCTCTTTTTGCGGCTCAGAGTTTGTGTGACAAATAAATTGCACACCATGATCAACTTTTGCAACTAAAAGTAAAGGTGCCATTTGCAATGTTTGTCAATTTTGGAAGGGAGACAAAGAAAAGAGAAATAAAAAAAAAAAAAACATGTACACTCTCGTCCAATTTACTTGTCCGATAGTCATTTGTATTAAAACAATGAAAAATAAGGCAAGTAAATATCCACGGAAAAAGTAAATAATTTTTATTTTCACACAATGCAAAAATATAATTAAATAAATAAATAATGGACAAAGGGGTCCAATTATAAATTATCATATCTTTCCCAAACAAAGCAACAAATCAAATACGTACTCTATAAGTGATAAGAGAATCTGAATATTTACCATATTTAAGTATAACCCAAATAAATTATATTTATTCAAAACATAATATTTTAACCCTTCTAATAATATTTACATTAACTCTGCAAAAACAAAAAAGTAAAGTATACATCTATGAAACAGAGTGCTCTGTTTTCTTGTGTATAATCCTATAAACTTTTTATAAATTTTTTCTTTTTTAGAAAAAAAAAAAAAAAAAAAAAAAATCTAACTTAGAAATTTCCTGTTTGTGTTGATAGAAGAAGGCATAATCTTAATAACAAGGCCAGGAAAAACATCATCAGGATCATGAATATGAGGGTTACGTTCAACAATATAAGGATCACCACACTTATCACTAATAGTATGAAGAGTTTCACCTTCACCAACAACGTAAATTTCATCGCACGGTCGATGAAGATCATGAAAGCTCGAACCTTTCATCACTTGTAAGTTGTTACTACTAGTAGAGAAATAGTTATGATGATCGTTGTCGTTGTTGTTATCGTCGTAAGGGTTAAAATTCTCCTCCCTTAAGGTAATGAACAAGATTAGGGCGATTATGATAATAGAACAGTACCATGAGGCGGTATCTGCTATTGTTAGAGTTGCTCTGATACCATTTATACGTCGTTCTGACGGACTTAGAGGAGTCATTTTGGGGTTTCGACAGAATTTTTTTTTTTTTTTTGGGGGGGGGGGGTTGTGTGTGAAATGTTTTTGGTTTTGGGCGTTGTAAAATGATTTTGGGTGGCTTATATAAGGGGTGAGAATTGGGTGTTGGTGATGTTGAGGTGAAGAGTGGAAAGTGGAGAGAGAAAAAGTGGAGTTGAATAGTTGAGTTAAATTTTGGGGGGGGGGGGGGGGGTGGAGTGGAAGAAGGACGTGCATATATTGGTGTGGAGTGGGAGGGTGAAAGTGGGGTCAGATTTTGTTAAGGCTTTATGTTTAGTTTACCAAATCAATTTTAGTTCTTAACACAAGTCTTCCTTGTACTTCATCTTATATGCCTTCTTATCCTCTCGTTTATCTATAATAAGCATTTATGTATGAAAAAATCTTGTGTTGTTTTGAACAAAATCTATGGCTATACATAGAATACTACCGGAGTATCATTCAATTCTAACTTAATTAGTACTTGTTTTGGTATCGTATAGTATTTGTCATTATGTGTTGAAGAATAATTCTACGATAATGATCATCTTTTAGATGATATTTATGGTTGTGTAAAAGTAGTAGTTTCGACACTTTTTAAGATGTGTAGAAAACGGTCTAGGTAAATCCTATAATGATAATAAGGAATTAGGCACTATAGAGTAGATACACAAACTTAAATTTATCAAGCAATGCAATTATACAACAAAATCACATTAAGATCACGAATCTCTTTTATGGAGTACTTTTTTGCCTTATACGAGTAGTTTGTCTCATTTTTGTTAAATCAAGCAGTATGTTGTAGGTGTCAACTAGTTTTCTTGGTTAAAGTTTTAGGTGTAAAATACTTGAAACTTGAGATTAAATTTCATCTATATCATTGTCTGTTGTGACTCTTAAATGCACAAATAAAGTGATTTGATTATGTATCTTAAAGAAATTTCTATGTATCTTAAAAAAATTATAGAAATTTCTATAATTAGGACATAGAAATTGTACATAGACAGTTAAGATAACAATTAGGACAGAGTTAGTTTGTTTATGTATCTTAAAGATTTTATACAAGTAATGCTTATAAAGCAATGTCATTCTCTAATCAAGCAATCATTCTCAAAGTAAGCAATTTATAAGCTTCGATCCGCGGAAACCCAGAGAAAAAACATAGGAGTTGAAGCCAACTACTTTAGGTTGAACAAACCCACAAGAAAAAAAGACTTGTTGTTGGACAAGAAACAATTACTCGTAAAATTCGCATTTGTAATGAAACAATGTTGCTTCAATCATAATTTTCTGTCAATAACTCCTTTAAAGGTTGGTCTCATTGACATATATGGTTTTTGCTCTTGAAAAAAATACGAAACCCATTCTAAACTAACACGCATGGATTAGGGTGTGTGTGACCGCTGTAATATCATTGACATATATATACGTCAATACGTGGTATACATTTTAAGTTTTTAGCGAACTTGAAAATATTTTCACCTCAATGACAATGTTAATTATAATGCGCGTAGTGTATTTATCATTTTTAAATTACTAACAAACTGATGACTTGTTTGATTGACATAGAGAGATTAGCTGCTCGGTTCGACGAAAAAATTAAGCGTCGGAAAACTTGATTTCAGTTTTTAAGGGTAATGATTTCTACTAGTTGGGCTCGCGGAGTCAGATTGTTTAATAAAATATATTTTTGAAAATGGAAACGGGCCAACGAGTCCAACTCACAGTTGTGTTGTGTGTGACAAGCTTTTTTAAGCCATTTGAGTTCGTTTAAGGCCCGAAAATAGCGTTTAAACATTTTTCGGTTTTTAATTTTGCTTTATTTTCGTATTAGGGCTTTGTTTAGACTATTTAAATGTTTTAGCCGTCGTATTCAATTTTTGACATTTTAAAGAATAATGTTAAGAGTTTTACTCTTTTCTGGTGGATTTCGGAGTTTATACAAATTTTATCACTTGTGAATCTGTTTGTTCGTATTAGGAATTGCGCTTGTTTTTCCTCCATTAATTCTTACTGCGTCATTGATAGTCAAGATCGTGTTGTTCTTAATTACGCTCTCTAAGCAATAGCGATAAATGGAATAGAATGAAGCAATCAACAAACTACTCTATAAGCAAGAACCTTTTTTTTAATATTGTGTGTTAGTAAGATCGAATTTATATTATTTTGTTTTGAGTAAAATTTTAAGGCATGCAAGTTCTGACTTGTGACACTTATGAGTTAAGATAAAACGCAAAGTGTAAAGATAAAGAAAGATTTGGAATGTGAATTGAAGGGATATAATGATATACTTCGTGTCATATATCATGTGTATGTAGAGTGTTTATTGCTAAAAAGGAGAAATAGTGTGCCAAATTCATGCCTAATTTAAGAAAATACAAAACCCTTTCACATTTCACACGCCTTAACGAGAATGTTGAGCTAATCATCCTCAACTAACTAACAAAGTTGACCATTTCCAAAGGCTCATACTCTTTGGGAGGGGATGGGTCCTTTAAATAGAATTGTATGTAAATAAGGCAAATATTTATGTATATAGTATGTTATTTTTAGTAAGTCTTAAATCCGTGGATGATCAATTAACGTAATTGGTTAATGTCTTGATGGATGATACTCATAATTTAGGATCAAATCATGTCTACGGGCTTTTAGTACTTCATTATCAAACATCTAGAAAATAAAATAGCTCGATGTGATTTGTATATTTTGAGTTTATACGTAAAGGGTGTAGCAAGTACCTATATGGTGTTCTTTCAGAAGAAGAAGAAGAAAAAAAAAAAAAAAAAAAAAAAAAAAAAAAAAAGGAGGTACCTATATAGTGACATTGGTACATACGAAGTGTGCACAAAAAAAAAGTACCTATATAGTGACATTGGTATATATAAAGTGTGCTATTGCTAGCTACGTACAACTATACAAGGAGATATATATATATATATATATATATATATATATATATATATATATATATATATATATATATATATATATATATATATATATATATATATATATATATATATATATATATACATGCTAACTACTTAGATATTACAATGGTGTTAGATATTTGCTGTTTTTATATTTGAAAACAAAAAAGTGTAATAACCTTCGACATAAAAAAAAATACAAAGCATGTAAAAAACAAAAAGCTAAAATTAAATGAGCAATTCTAGAGGCTTGGTAAGAGCATATGTCAATTGAATTTCTTGTCCGAGATCTAAGAAACACAAAGGACACCAAGCTAAATTAGACCTAGGGCATCCTATTTCAATTCTTGTACCAATCAATCAATCTATAATTCAATAACTTCCTTTTTTTTTTCTACAAACAAAAGGATGGGATAGTGAATTTCATCAATACTCTAAAAAAGTAAATAAAAATATACTAAATGAAGTCAAAATCATTAAATAGCCATTGACATCGAGCTAAGCCTTTGTCCTTTAAGATTAGGTCAACTTATTCTCACCTAATATTCATTTTTTAGGTTGAATGAGAACGAATTGAAAGTAGACATGCAAACTTTGATTCCAAATATACCTCAAGTTATTAACTAAAAAGTACTAGCTCATTAAATCGCCTGAAGTACAATCTAACTATGTCCACTAATACAATTTTTCATATTAAAAGCTATACAATGAATTGTCACTACTTTGCCTCAACAAAATTAAATTAATTTTTAAAAAATTTAAACCCAAAAATAAAAATAAAAAAGTCACTGCTTACACTAGCTAGTCATTTGAAAGAAATAAAAAAATACTTTAACCTATTTTTCAATTAAGTATTTTAATTATAAGCTGATGTAAGAAAAGAGTATACATGACTACATATAAACCTAATTAGGGTCCTATTTAAATTTATCGACACTACAATTTTATCTGGTCAATTATTTATGTACCCTGTGCAATAATCGTACACCAAAATGACGAAATTCTTCTTGACCAATATTTTCTCAACAAGAAGCGATGATCAAACACTTGATTATAATGTTGAACTTGACTAAATTAACCATATGTTAATGTTATTGGCCGATTAGTGTAAAAATCCAACATCAAAAACAACATTATTGAGTACAAATTATGAATTTGTTGATTAATCATAGACAAATAGACAATTAGCAGCATTTTCCTTTGATTTTGGGGGTCAGTGTCAAGAATTCCTTGTTGGAGCACGTCAAAGAAGTGGTAATTTTTTTTTATCTAAGTGCAGGATTTTTTGGTGCATTAATCAGGAGTCAAACCCCATTTGTAAGTTAGAATTACTATAGTTTTAAATAAATTATAACATGTGATAACCCTGATAAGTTAAAATACTGTACCAAAATGCTTGTTGACTAGATAACAATTTGCGCAACCATATAAAAGATTATTGTGCCATTTTAAATTATATTTCTAAGTCTGACAGGCTATGGTTAGTCCATGACTTATAAAAAACTTCGCTGTGCTTTAATATATGTAAGTAGTACTGAAATAGTGAATTGAAATGCATGCCAATAGGTTAACCAACAATTTACAAGGTTTGTGATGATAATTTTATATTCCATTCGTGATGAACCTCTCTACGATTTACAAACCTAGGTATACATAAAAATAGATACATGGCGCATATTTTTGACTTATTTGATAGTTTTATAATGAGAAAAATTATTGAATAAACAGAAAACAATACATTTAAATACACCTAACTCTAGGTACATCGTACACCGTCAAATACACCTAATTGCATGTAAGAATTTTCACCCTCTCCATAAAATAAGTAATTAATCCGTAATTTATATGATTTTATGCATAACATTTCAAAGTATGCAAAAACTGATGTCAATAAAAATTAGTGATAATTTATAGTATACCAATACAGAAATTATCGTCACTTTGTAAAGGCTCAATCGAAAAATTTGGGGTGCTATCCTATCATGTGAATGAATTTCTTATACAAGTGTGAGGTCCTGTTGAGGGTCAATGACTTATAATCAAAAGAGGCCCAACCCATAGCTTAGCCTTCATCTTTACTTGTTTTCGGGCCCAATGGCCCAGTAGTTACGGAGTGAGGCACCATCAGTCCATGACTCCATGCACAAACCATAAATAAATAATCCCTTCGTCACAAATAAATTTGAACTAGTTAAATGATATGGTTAATTAATATGAACCATTTACTATAATATATAAAATCTATAACTATAATAGGTTTTAAGTTAGGGTCTTGAATTTTCGAGACTCCATCTCAAACTTTGTAAAGACTGGGATTCAAACTATATAAAAAATTATCAAATCTTATCTTAAGAGAGTTAAAACGACTGAATAGTGATTTGATGATGTCGCATAGTGTCTTCTTGCACTAAATGAAACTCAATTGACTATACCTACTGTACCATTATGTTCCTATTTCCTTAAAGCTTTTATAAAAGTTATTTTGCAATTTTTTAATATCTTATGTGAAATACTGAGATTTTTTTTTTCTTGAATAGAAGTGGATTACAGATATTGGGTAAAGAAGAAAAGAGGAAAAGAATAACTAATTTTTTTTGAATAAAAAATAACTAGTCATTTAAATGAGCAGTGTAGATTTATGCATAGTATTAATTAAACTAAATGTAAGGTTATGATTTAAACATTACAATGGCTATAAATTTCGTGGAGCTATAGCAAAATTGTCTTAAAAGGAATTTATTGCACAATTAATAACAATGGAATAAGGGGTTCAGAAAAAATAGAATGAAAGGGCATTTTGCTTCTTCTAACAAATTTTTAAATCTAGTTGAATCAATTATTCCATTATTTAAAATATAACTAGTGTGTACCCTGCGCGATATCTCGGGTTGTTTATATGTTCGAGTATTTGTATAGTTACTGTGTGTAGTGGTTCGGGCGTTGCCTTGGGTGTCACTTTTTTTTTTTTTTTTGTTTACATCATATGTATTTATATTTTAATCTTGTGTAAAATAAATGAATTATATTACCTCTAATTTACTTAATAAATGAAAGAAATATATAATATTATGTGAAATTTGAAATATTAATAAAAGTTGGTTGAGATGTTAAATGTATTACCTATATGTATTGGAGGTTATGGGTTCAAATCTTGTTCAAAGCATATTTTATTATTGGCAATGAATTGAAAGTAATAATAAACAAGTATATTTTAGTATAAAATACCTAATTCGAGGTGTCAAAATCTGACCTGACCAACCCGAATCAAAATTAACCTGAAAATATCCAATTCAAATTTTGACTTGTATGAACACATGCAATATTTTAGCACGACACAAGTTTGAAATTACACCCGACCCGACCCGACCTCACCGGAACCAAACATCCGACTTGACACCTCTCGTATATCTAAGATGTTAAATTTTCACTTTAGATAGTTTTGGTTATGTTTATTTTAAGTTATGGTAAACTAATCATTTTTTTTGACAAGAGTTATGTTAGAAAATATTATAACTTCAAATTAATTAAGCTAGGAGTAGTGTACCATCCATAATAAATGCGGCTATTTCACCAAATGCCACTGAGCAATTTCAAAATTCACCAAATGCCATCGATGTTTTCAAAATTCACCAAATGCCACCGAATTTTAAAAAATTCACCGAGTGCCATTAATGATTGATGGCTATTAGTTGACCCCACCACTTGCCATGTGTCACCTTCGGATTGGTCCTTTTTTAAAAAAAATTAAAAATTAAAAAATCAAAAAAAAAATTAAAAAATAAAACTGAACCCCAAACCCCAGCCACCAGCCAGCCGCTGGCGGTCTCGGAACCCCAACCGCCGGCGGTCCCTGAACCCAGCCACCCGCCACCTACGAAATCTTGTGAAACCAAACACCAACAATAATCCATAATCAGCCACCCCAGCCGCCCCCTCAACCCACCACCATTTGCAAACCCTAAAAAAATTGAATTGGGGTTTATTGTTTGGTGAAGCAATTCACAAAATTGTTGCTCGAAATGATTGTATGTTGAATTGTGAACATTTTGGTACAAATTTAATAAAATTTGGTGAAGAAATGATGTTCCTCAAGCTTTAATGCGTGGGCTTCAATGGCGTTTTACTAGAAACTCCACCATCAGAAACTCCAAAATCCTGACCACGACCACCACCACAAACTCCACTAGCGAAATCCCGAAACCCCGACCACCACCAAAAACCCCGCAAATCCACCACCACCAGAAACGATTACCTCCAGAAACTCCACCAGCGAAACTCTGAAACCCCGACCACCAGAACCGACAGCCACTAGAAACTCCGAAATCCACCAGTGAAATCCCGAAACCCCGACCACCAGCACCACAATGCGAAACCACCAGCGAAATCTCGAAACCTCCACCACCAGCGAAATCCACCACGAAAACGCAAAACCGTACAAGCAAAATCCACTGGCTTTAGATTGTGGATTATTGTTGGTGTTTGGTTTCACAAGATTTCGTAGGTGGTGGGTGGCTGGGTTCGGGAACCGCCGGCGGCCGGGCTGGTGGTTAAGGATTAGGGTTCAGTTTTTTTTTTTATTTATTTTTTAAAAAACGGATCAATCAGAAGGTGACACGTGGCAAGTGGTGGGGTCAACTAACGACCGTCCGTCATTAATGGCACTCGGTGAATTTTTTTAAAACTTGGTGGCATTTGGTGAATTTTGAAAACATCGATGGCATTTGATAAATTTTGAAACTGCTCAGTGGCATTTGGTGAAATAGCGGATAAAAAATGTGTTTGAATGTAATTGAATGTAAACACGGCATTGTGAGTCTGTGGAACATAAGCATATTGGCTATTATTTGATTGGTATTTTCATCTTTGGCAACATATTCCCTTCATCTTTGGCAACATATACTTCGTAAATTACTTCAATTTTACAATTGTTTGTTTCCAATCTTTCCACAATTGTATGTCAATGAATTGGATTTTTTTGGCGGGAAATTAACGCTTCTTAAGAGTTAAGATCAAGAACTACTCAAAATATCAAATTTCGCTAAATTCAAAAATCTAAGTTTCATACTTCAACTATCATCCCCATTTTCACCTCAATTATCATGATTCTTCAATCCAGATCTTCCATGCAATTCATTAGACCCTTTTCACGCCAATTTAGCACCTTCACTTCGATCACCAAATCACAAGAATTACCCAGATATTCAACCTCAATCGACGCCATTAAAGAGCTTCATGGTCATTTGATCAGAACCCAAAAACACAAAGACCCAGATTCAATTTCTCTGGTTTTCCGCTCATACTCTCTCTCCTCAACCACATTACACAAAGCCCAGATTGTATTTGATCAAATTCAACGACCCCCATTGTTAATATGGAATCATTTGATAAAGGGATTATCCAAAAGTGATGATCCAATTAAAGCAATTTATATGTATAATGATTTGAGAAAATATGGGTTAACTGGGAATAATTTGACTTTTATATTTGTTCTTAAGGCATGTGGTCGTGTTTCAGATGTTTTGCAGGGTAAAAAGATTCATGTTCATGGATTAAAACTTGGGTTTGAATCATATTTGTTTTTGTCAAATGCTTTGATACATATGTATGGATCATGTGGGGAAATGGGTTTTGCACAGAAGGTGTTTGATGAAATGACTGAGAGAGATTTGGTCACTTGGAACTCGTTGATTTGTGGGTATAGTCAATGCAATAAGTATACAGAAGTTCTGGGTGTTTTCGATTCGATGCAGGTGGCGAGTGTGAGGGCTGATGCTGTGACAATGGTGAAAGTTATCATGGCCTGTAATGTGTTGTGTGAGTGGAATATTGCTGATTCAATGATCGATTACATTGTGAGAAGTGGTGTTGATATAGATGTTTATTTGGGGAATACTTTGATTGATATGTACGGAAAGCGTCGGATGATGGACTCGGCCCAAGGAGTGTTTGAGCAGATGAGTGAAAGAAATGGTGTCTCTTGGAATTCTTTGATGATAGGTTATGCAAAAATCGGAAATTTGGTTATGGCAAGGAAGCTCTTCCATGAAATGCCAAAGAGGGATGTGATTTCTTGGACATCAATGATTACAGGGTACTCACAAGCAGGCAAATTTTCTGATGCTGTTAAACTTTATCAGGAAATGATGTCGAATAAGATTAAACCCGACGAAATTACAATATCGAGTGTGCTTTCTGCTTGTGCTCATCTAGGAATGTATGCCATGGGCAAGGAAATTCATAAATTCATCATTGAGCATAACATCAGAGTAGACATTTATGTTGGTAACTCTTTAATTGATTTGTACAGTAAATGTGGGGATGTAACAAAGGCATTACAAGTTTTTCATGGTATGAGTGAGAAGGATCCTGTATCATGGACTGCAGTTATAGCAGGGCTTGCAGTAAATGGTTTTGCTGATTCTGCTGTTCAGCTATTTGAGGAGATGTTAGGCAAAAATGTTAGGCCAACTAATGGAACCTTTGTCGGCATATTGCTAGCTTGTTCGCATGCTGGATTGGTAGACAAGGGGGTGAAAATTTTCGAAAGTATGTACAGAATCTATGGAATTGTCCCACAAATGAAACATAATGGTTGTGTGGTTGATCTCTTGAGTCGTTCTGGTGAATTAGAGAGAGCATATAATTTCATACTCAAGATGACAACACCTCCTGATGTAGTATTATGGAGAATCTTGCTGAGTGCCTGCAAGCTACATAAAAATGTTGCCTTAGCTGAGATTGTTTCAAGTAAGCTTCTTGAATCAGATGCTGGTAATAGTGGAAATTATGTACTTTTATCGGATGCTTATGCAGGCGCAAAAAGGTGGGATGCTGCTATGAAGTATAGAGACTTGATGGAGGAGAACCGCGTGCAAAAGCCATCAGCCTGGAGTTCTGTAGAAGTGACTAGGTAAATTCATGGTGTTTATGCCCCTTTGTCCAGGAGCAAAATTTGATGTTATAGCCTTCAATTTGGGCATACCGTTGTCTTCTGCAGTACATTCAAGTGTCTCAATGATCAAAATAGATATTGGGTTAAAGCCATCAGCCTGAAGCTGTATAAAAATAAGTTAGAGTTTTTGGTGTTTGGTCGCTTCCTGGGCCAAACATTTCATGCATCACCCGGGAGGCTAGGATTACTCACATAGTCACATGACTCACATCAATGCTCCAGCCCAGTGATACATATGAGTCAGCATATGGTCACCAGATTCATCATGCACTGGTGGAAGCGTCATTCTAGGTACTCTCTAGTGCATGTAATAATTTGTGTCGGTGCTACTTCCCTAGTTTAGGAGCTGATGCTCAATATGTATAGAGATGTTACACTTGTGGGAGAAGGGAGGTTATTCATTCAATTTTGGTGGGCCAGAAAACAAGACTAGTCTTTCCTTCTTGGAGGTGACTGTATAAAGGATAAGGTCCCTGAAATTTTGAAAGTTAGTTACAAAAAATTTGAACTAAATAAAAAAAAAAACAAAGACAATGTGGAAATTGTAGCTTGGCAAATTGCTTTCATGCATTGGATGATTTTTGCATTCAATGCATTTGAGAACTTGTATAGATTTAGAACTTTTGGAAGAGATCAGAGTTCCTGAGGAGATTAAATGCTGGTGTTGAGCTGCCAATTGTGTAAAATTTGGGCAGTTGGTGGAAGATGAGGGTCACAATTTGATTCGACAAAGTCAGCAGGAAATAGAGCCTCAGGATAAACAACAATTTTGGAAATCGATATTATCAAAGCAAAAATTTATGTATCGTAAAAACTGGAACATTATATTTATGACCTAGGTACTACACCAACAGAAAACACGGTTATCCAGTAAATTCGAGTCACCCTGTAACCGATTGATTACCCAATATGTGAATTGCAAAACCAAATTTACACGATCCAACACCCAACTGATGTTTTTTTTTTGTCTTTTTCTTGTTTAATAACGAAGTAAGATGTTCGTGAGGTGGTAGTACATATTAATAAAAGATAGGGTTTTTCTACATGGTAACCTCGTTGTTTTCACTTTTCTACGCTGTGACCTAACATATATGTCTACGTTGTAACCCTAAAGTACGAAAAGTCAATATATTGTGACCTTGCCGTTAAACTGCCATTAGTTGCTTCCGTTAAAACCCAAAAATTAAACTTTTTTTTTCTTTTTCATTTCCCTTTCCCCTTTCCCTTCTTCCGTCCATAACCACCAGAGCAGATCAATCGCGACCACCACCAACATGACCCCGACCTCCCAAAATTCGGCCGCCGAACTCCATTGTCCCAGGAATCCGCCAGTCGCCGGCCAGACCCCCTTCCTCTTCTCCTCCTCCGGTACCGGCGCTGTAGCTAAACCCAGACCCCAGAATCACCATTGCCACCAAACCAGACCCCAGCCAACCCAGGAACCACTGCCACCAAATCAGACCTTGGAACCACAGCCACCAAATCAGACCTTGGAACCACCGCCACCAAACCAGACAGCCAACCCCAAAACCCCCTTCGAAAAATCAAAAGCCCACCAAACCAGACCCCATGAAACTGGTTAGGGAGGTCAACACAACTAGAATCGATGTCGGGAGAGATTTGGTGGCGTGTTAAGGGACGGGAGACGGGGAGGGGGCTGGGATCGAGACGGGAAAGGGTTTTCAAGGGAAGGGGGATGCCGCGTGAGGAAGGGAGGGAGGGGTTGGCTGGGTTTTCGGGTGTTGGTGGTTTAGGGGAGGGGGTTAAGCGGCGCCGGCGTTGGGTGGTCGGAATCGGGACGAGGGAAGGGGGGAGGCTGTTGGGGTGGTTTTGGGGTTCGGGTCTGGTGGGATGGTGGTTCTAGGGTTTGGGTTTGGGTGGTGGTGGGGATGGGGAAAGGGAAGGGGTGGGGTCGCTGGAAATGGAGGGGGAGGGGTGGCTAACGGAGGGGGTGGCAGTGGGGTGGCTGGACGATGGTTGAGCTCCACTAACGAAAATAGTAACAGTTAACGGAAGCAACTAACGACAGTTTAACGGCGAGGTCACAATGTAGTGACTTTTTGTACTTTAGGGTTACAACGTAGAAAGTCATATATGTTAGGTCATAGCGTAGAAAAGTGAAAAAAACGAGGTTACTATGTAGAAAAACCCTAAAAGATACTAGTAGTAGGGTTAATAGTATATTGATTAGTCTCGTATGCATGAACGAATTGAATAATTTGTTCTTTTCTAACGGTAGTTATCATTCTTTAGGATTTTGTTTATGAGCATCTCAGGATGTTAAATAACTAATCTATTAACTAATATTAGGCCCTGTTTGGAAAAACTAGCGGTAGCGGATAGCTTTTAGCGGTCAAGTAGCGGGTAGCTGTTAGGGTAGCGAGTAGCTGTCAATAAGTAGTGGGTAGAGGTTAGTTGTCAAAGTAACGGTTGATAGTATGAGTGTTTGGCAAAAGTAGCAGTTGCAATACTAAAATATATTTTTTTAAATATATAAATTTTTTAAAAAAAGTAAGCAAAATTAACAAACGCTACCCGCTACTCTTAAATGCTACTATTTTTAACATTTGAGAAAAGCTATCTAAACGCTACCTCAACTGCTACCTTGCCAAACACTGTTTTTTTTTAGTAGTGTTTTGACTGGTCAAAATGTCAATCGCGACCTCAAACGCTACTACCAAACAGGGTCTAAAACAAAACGTTGTTGATATCATCCCTTCTCCAAATCGTACACATGTCACCCTGACATAAAAAAATTTCCTGCCAATTTGCTATGATGACATCATTAGTTTTTATTTTATTTTTACTTTTACCTTTGTTTTTTATCCAATAAACCTTTCATATGCTTTATCCTTTGTCCCTATCGAGTTTTTTTTACAGGTATGTTAATATTTCAATGTTCAAAAGTGTTCATTGTGATTATTTTAATTATTTTTTTGTATATTTTACAAGTAATAAGCTATAGTAGAAATTAATTATCATATATACAAAAAATTTACGGAATAGAAAATTTTCTTTCTCCGTATTATAAACAAATCTCACAATGTGTTTGTTTAAAGCCGTGCATCGCACCGGAACTAAACTAGTTAATTTATAATTTAGTACTTTCAATAGTATTGAGTTAGGATTGCATGACAATATTACACGTCGCTCGATTTATTAATGTTAATTTTACTTTGTTATTTCGAACTTTTGTTCTCTTATCTATTCGTTATTTAGAAAATGGGAATTTATAATTTCATTCATTTTTCTAGAAGTTTTGAAAACAAGAAATTATTACTCGTATTGTTTATAAAAAAATGATGTCGTAAATAGTTTAGATGGGAATATATATCACAAAAAAATTGACATGAGGTAAGCAATGACTTGTTTTAGCAGTGATAGATGTGAGAAAATAAGGGATCTAAGACAAGAGAAAAAAATTCTTTTGTTTTTTATATAAATGCAACATTTAATTTTTAACATATTCACATAATGCTCTTTGACCATTATTTGTGATTTTAAGTAAGGAAAAATATAGTCATGTGGTGTTATATTTTGGTATCGTCTTGATTTACTTTCAAAATGTCAAATTTTCATTATGTGATAGTTAATGATAATGTTTAAAGTTGTACATTGGCAGGGTGAAAGCCTAAATGTAAACTTGCAGTTATTTAAAAAACAAAAAAATAGAGAAAGTTTAATAAATGTAACTGTTAAGAATGAGGATCATTAAGAGGAGAGAGATGCAACATAAAATATGCAGTTTGCTAAACATATGAAAACTTCATGTTTGTTTGTTTTTTTAAAATAAAGAAGAAAATAAATTGTTTGCACTATTTTATTGTCGAATTTTAAAATCATGATTTATTCCAATAAATTTGTCTAATTTTTATTACTTGTATTTTTTTTATATAAATATTGACTTTCATTAACAAAAAACCAAATATAATAAAATTAGAGTGATATCAAAGCCTTAAACTAAGTGTAACCCTTTAAAATAAAATAAAAAAAAAAAAAAAAAAAAAAAAAAAAAACATAGATAGTAATAGATACAGTACAAATATGAACCACTCAAACCGATATACTATCACTTAATCTTGACCCAAATTGAGCTTGATTTCAACAATCCAATTACTTTCTCCACATAATTGACTTAGTTAGAACAGAAAACAAATAAAATATTGAAAATTGTAGTTGAAAACTTGAAGTTGTGCAACCTCAGCTCAAAGTTGTTAACTTTAAATAGCCCTTCAATCAGTTAAGAGAAAACTCACCAAGAAACACAACCTAGTTAGAGAGAGAAAGAGATAGAGAGAGAAAAATGGGTAAGGGAGGAAACTCTGAAAAAGATGGAGAGCAGAACATGGCTGCTTGGTTAACTGGGATTAATACTCTCAAAATTCAACCATTTCAGCTCCCTCCTCTTGGTATATACTTCTACTTCTATCTTTCTTTTTTTTTTTTTTTTTTTTTTTTTTTTTTTTCCTGTTAAAAAATCTAATATTTGTATATTTTCTTGTGAATTTCTGAAGGACCATATGATGTAAGAATCAAGATGAAGGCTGTTGGTATTTGTGGAAGTGATGTTCACTATCTCAAGGTAAAAAAATCCCATCTTTTTCAGCTTTTTTTCTGCTATTTTAATTCAAAAGAATTGGTTTATTTTTCTTCTTAATTTATGCTTGACTGTTGTTAATGGACATGCATGCTAATGATCAAGCCATCTGATATTCAGATACTAGGAGATTTAATTTAGTGGATAAAAGAATTGATTTTGCCACTTAATTTAGCTTATAGTATGCTTGATTAATTATATGAGCATGCATGCTAAAAATGATCAAACAACAGATACTAAGGAATTGGGTGAATAATAAGCTTATTAACAGTTTTCTTGTTTGATTCTGTAGACTTTAAGATGTGCTGATTTCATAGTTAAAGAGCCTATGGTAATTGGACATGAATGTGCTGGGATAATTGAAGAAGTTGGAAGTGATGTTAAAACATTGGTGCCCGGCGATCGAGTGGCTTTGGAGCCTGGGATCAGTTGTTGGCGTTGTAATGTCTGCAAAGACGGCCGCTACAATCTGTGCCCTGAGATGAAGTTCTTTGCAACTCCTCCTGTTCATGGCTCTCTTGCAAATCAGGTAACGGTTTTTTGAAACCTTCTAGTGCGTCCATCCAGAATTAATAGTTACATTTAGTAATGGTTTATGACTGAAATTCCTTATATGTATGTACTTGGATTTAACGATGTAAAGCTGATGGAAATAAGGTAATTAACTTGATATAAAAGCTAAGGTTGATTTGTGATATAATTTTCGAATGGATGTAATAGATTCTATGTTGACTATATATGGTGGTTTATTTAGTATCTTTTTGTACTCTTTTCACAAAGAATGTTTTGGAATTTTATTCCTGGTAATCCTACAGGCTCATTGCTAAATTTTAATCAATAAATGATGTTGTTTTCCTTATTTACTCATGTATATTTATAAAGAAGGAAAAATGAGCGAGGTAATTGGAGACTTCCTCATTGTGATATAGGGTGTTGTCTTTTTCTTTCCCACTTAACACAATCATCCTAAAACTTGGTGTTAGCTAATGAAATTATATAGGTATTCTTGATGCTTTTGCAGTTAGTGTTATATGCAATAAAATAAAAATTTGAAGTTAATATGAAAACATGTTTCTATGACCTGTGGCAGGTGGTACATCCTGCTGATTTATGCTTCAAACTCCCAGATAATGTTAGTTTGGAAGAAGGGGCTATGTGTGAGCCGCTAAGTGTTGGTATCCATGCTTGTCGTCGTGCCAATGTTGGTCCTGAGACCACGGCATTGATCATGGGAGCTGGACCTATCGGGCTTGTGACATTGCTAGCAGCTCGTGCTTTTGGAGCTCCAAGAATAGTCATAGTGGATGTAGATGAATACCGCTTATCTGTTGCAAAGAAACTTGGTGCAGATGAAACTGTCAAGGTTTCAACCAATATGCAGGTTTGCGTCTTCTTTATAAACAAATTTCTCAGCATTGGAGATCCTTAAACTTATAGGCTTCATTCACACAAACTACTAAGTCCATACATGATAGTGATGTCTTAACCCTCCATAATAACACTTTTAAGTCTATTTAAGCAGAGGAGTTAATAAACCTTAATTAATTTTTAAAAAATTAAATTACAATTATTTAAAAGATAATTATCTAATTTGAAAAAGACATACAAATTCAAAATATTTTTCAATTTAAACTACAATACTTATACGTGTCAAATATTACACGTGTAACATATGCGCAATATATATATGAATGTCTCTTATGAATTTTAAGCAATTTCAAATGTGTTTATAAATGTTTTTTTAATGATTTAGAAAGATAAAATCATTACATTTAAATAGGAACTAATTTAAATTAATTTGAACCCACATGTAATATACTACCTCAGCCACTATAAACATGATATATAACCAAAGGTAGCAACTTATTGTAACCAAAGGTGGCAACTTAATGTAGATATCCTAAAAGAGTATACTATGTGATAATAAATTTCTGATGGAAATTTAATTATTTTTGATACATTAATTATGCTCCCAAATATTCTTTCCTTCCACAGGACATACCAGAAGAAGTTGAGCAGATTCGTAAAGCTATGGGGAGAAGCGTAGATGTGACTTTGGACTGTGCAGGGTTCAACAAGACCTTGTCAACTGCTCTTCGTGCAACAGGTGAAGGTGGTAAAGTGTGCCTAATTGGGATGGGCCATGGTGAGATGAATGTTCCTCTCACCGCTGCAGCTGTGAGGTATTGTTTTTCTAATAGGGGAAAAATGCAAAGCAAATAGATATTCACCTAACTATATGTTTAGACTCTAATAATGTGTTCCATTCTTAATTACAGGGAAGTAGATGTTGTGGGTGTATTCCGTTACAAAAATACTTGGCCTCTATGCATTGACTTTCTTACTAGTGGTAAAATCGATGTGAAGCCTCTCATTACTCACAGGTTCGGGTTCTCACAAAAAGAGGTAGAAGAAGCTTTTGAGACCAGTGCCCGCGGTGGTGATGCGATTAAGGTTATGTTTAATTTATAAGGAAGTGTGCGATGAGTATTGGTTACCAAAAGTTTGCGAAGCTAAGTTTACACAGCAGAGTTCAGAGATACTTAGACAATAAAAGCGTAAAAGATTACTAATTGCTGCTTTATAGCTTTCTTATGCGAGTGTACTTTGTGAACAATGAAATTGGATTTTATTTAAAATAATAAATTTTTAATGTGTTGTTCAACTTCCTCATGTCTGCATTTTTTTTTCCTTCTTATGAGCATCACATCCAACACTCATAGCTTTACTTTCTACTACTGGGTAAAATAAGGTAAGAGTTTAAATAGAATGCACATGTATAAGAAAGATGTTGGACTGATACATAGGACTAGTTAGCCCCAACTTTAGAACAAAACTTGGTAAAAAGCATAAAGAAAAGGGAAACTAAGTGCAAAATGTACACTTCAATTTGTCAATTATTACGCTTCTTTTTGGGGTGATACAAGGTCTTCATTAACATATAACTAAGAATCAAAGAAAATGAAGCTTTAGGTATTCCTCTTCCTCAGAGTTAACCGAAATAAAATATTACTGCAAAAAGGGCTACATACACTAGCAAAATCACTTAATGGTTACATACACAAGTGTTACACGACCTCGTTCCCTAATTTGCTATAAATACATAATAAATCACAGAAAAGCTGCTGTGGAGTGTAGTAACAATTTGCTCAACCAAAAGAGTAGTCCTTATCATTGTAGAAGACAACTTCAAAAGGTGCCGAGTTTGTGTCCAATTACAAGGAACATCAGCCAGGATTATCTTCTCACAATTCCTCGACAATGAAGACCATAGGAAACAAAAAAATAGAGAGAAAACTTGAAGGCTGAACTGCCATAAAAAATAAATAGGGTTACATAGCTGTCTTTGGTTCTGCTAACCAGTTCCAAACCCTGACTTGACCATTTCCGTCACCGGTAAAGAATAATCCGCTAGGACCTGCTTGAATAGCTCGAATCTCTTGCTTTGAAATAATCTTGCCCCTCTCCATAAACCTAAAGGAGAACAATAGATAATTATCTATAAAATGCATAATCATTAAACACACCACCCACAACGTCACAACCGGACACAAGCATTATATATATTCATTTCCATAATGTATATACCACAAGCCAAATTTACCCAGCTTTCAGGGCAGACATTGGGCCAAAATGAGCCAACTTAAATTTGGAGTGAGACCCAACCTATGACCAACTCTAACAGAAATGCAGGTATTGTGGTAGAATGACCTGGATTTCCTGAACTAGGATAAGAACTTACGATGGCAAGTCATATATGTGGACAAAATTGTCATTGGTGGAACACAGTAAGACTGGCTTCGCTTCTGCATCAAACATCCCGCAAAGAGTGAGAATACCCTGCATATTAAACAACCACAAATCAAAACTCAATTGGTAACTTCATCAAAGAAGGAAGATTATGGAAGGAGTTAAAAACCAGTGAATTCCTAGAACCAATTAAGGGTAATCTCCTAAACAAGCAACAGAACAATCACCCCAGCACCAGGGAAGTAGGCAATAATAAATTCTGTTGTAAGCTAGAGTGAGATGGTGAAAGAGTGAATTAAAAAGTTTAATCCTACCTGCAAATGTTTGCTTTGCACACCAGAATTAATTGTTTGACTTGGTGGGACTTGGAGTTAGACAATTTGGCTCTATTGTGCATAGGGGGTTGGCTTGATTCATGCCCACAAGAAATGAGAAACAAATTCCACATAAAATGATTACAATAAACTATAAAATGTACACCTGATTCAGTCATTTTAACTGCACTCGATACCAAAAACACAAATGCGAATAACCAATTTCATTCCCCTTAAAATCTTTTCCTAGTTCCGACTCCATAAAAATCAAATACTACTAAACAGCTTTAAAAAAATCGGTTGAACAAAAGAAAAGCTGTATACTGCAAAGAATTGTACTCCAGCTATAGTCAACCATCAAATAGGAAAAAAACAGATGAGAAGCTTTGATCTTTGATAACCACTGGTTATTTACCACCTTAAGTACTATACTATTACCACATCACCAACGGAACTGCATTCTCAAGTCTTCAATCCAAAACTACCTCTTCTACCAAGCTACCAAAAAGTAATAACATCCCTGGCTGATCAAATCTCGGCTAAATCAAAGCAACACCACAGCCAAAGATGATCTCATATCCTTTATTTGATAAAAAATAAAAAATAAAAAATAAAAATAAAAAAAAACCCTCAAAGGCAAAACTAGAGGTGATAAGCAGACTTCATTGATTTTGAAGAGAATGCACCATTTTTACAAAATGATAACATGATGTGAGAGGATTGTGATCAAAAACTGGGATACAGAGCAAGCATATATACACGTACACCCCTGGCAATCACAAGTTAGCAACAATGCACTCGAGTTACTATCCGGTCTTTCTCTTGCTGACTACCTAAGCTAGAAAAAGTAACTTGGGCTTCAACTTCTAAATAGCCTTGGCATAAACTAAGATAAGTATTTCATTTTGGCATTCAAAGAAGAAAAGAAATGAGACTAGCAAGTAAATGAGAAAATGATTTTCACAAATGTACAAATTTAGCAAGGGAAAGATGAAAGGATATCCACCCCCCCCCCCCCCAAACAAAAGAGAGATAAATACATGTCAAATGCGCATGAATTTTCTGCTGACCGGCAATAATGAGAAGCAGATTAGATTGATTAGAGAGCAAGCCTATTTATTTATACCAACATGTCAGACACAGTAAAACACAATTCACATTAATCCAGGTAGTACCTTAACCAGGAATGTTTTGCAAGAAGCACTACCTCAACGTCTCATGGGATGAGGTCCACACCTAAGTGCAACAATCTAACCCACATAACCAAAATTCAATCCCCAGGTTCACCTTTTCCTTAACTACTTCATGGGATATAACTTAGTTGATTAAAGAAAGAAATTGTCGGATCAATCGAATAGGGTTTCTTAGCAGAAATTATTTAGTAAAATAGTCTCATAGGTATAATGGCTAATTTTTGCACCTCAAGTATGATACAGCTTCATTGCAACTCAGTCCACATTGTGAGGTACTGAGGTTATGCCTTACAAAACTAAACAGAAACTTCGGACCAAATGGATAATCCTTAGAGCAAAGCAAAGAGATGCAGCTTAAAATCACTAATCTGAACTTAGTGAACAAAAGAAATGTAGCTTAAAATAGCAAGCAAAGAAATGCTTGAAATGACAAGCAAATTTTTTAAACATACATGCTCTTCAGTATGAGTATATGTCACTTCCAAGTTTCCGCTCGGAGTAGCAGTCCAGACCTGCACAAAAACAATCAAGTTGCAGATGGGTTAAGAAAAACAGAAGTCATGAAAACGGTGGCCAAAACAAAGCCAAAAAAGCCATACAAATTCCATTTATTGGCCAAATTTCTCAACTCAGCATACAAGTAACAACCTTTATAGTGTTGTCCAGTGAAGCTGATAATAGAAACTGCTCCCAACAAAGAACAGACATAACAACTGAAGTGTGCTCTGTCAAAATCTGTATGCATTGCAATGTCTCAAGATTCCAGACCTGTAGAAGGCAATATTAAGAGCAAAACTGGAGACTATAAGTAACAATACCTCGGAAAGGCAAAGTAAAGCATCAATAAACGCTGATATCAATATCATGAAACAGCTTACCCTTATAGAATTATCCATTGAACCAGAATAGAGTCTATTAGCTCCAGAAAACATAGTAACAACAGCACTTGTATGCCCCGTAAGGGATGCAGCTGGTTCAAAGCAGTTAGTAGCCGGGTTGAATTTCCAAGCCAATATATTCCCATCCTACAAGAAAAAAAGACACCTAGCTATGAATAAACTTAAATACAGATATATAAGCATCTCAAAAGTTTCATCAGAAAGAAACATTCCTACGTTAAATCTTCAGACTTTGGTTTGACACAGAGATTAAAAGTAGTATTAAAAGGAGAGTAAAAAACATAAGTAGATATAGAGAGAAAAAGGATTAAATATAATATATGGATCGCTGCCTTCATTGGACATTTAGACGTCCCAAATACACATCTAAGAGTGGAGCAACCAGGCCATTGGTATACTTCCACAGTCCCACTGTTATTTTTACTCCCTTATTTTAGGAGATTGAAGATCATTTTTCCCCATCAAAAAAAAAAATGACTGAAGGTCTTTTTACAGGAATTGAGATAAGTTTTTGCATTTTCTTTCCTAAAAACTATCACTTAAGAAAAAGTTATATGGATAAATTGTAAGAATACAAACTAAATATAAAAAGAAGTAATTTGAGACAATCCAAAGTAGATGAGTCCTATCATTAAAGGACAAAGGGAGTCATCAAAACTGAAAAACATCTACTGCAATAATGAAAACAATATTAGCTTTAGCTCAAACATTCAAGCAACTCACTAAATCCAGAATCGAATTTAGGCCTTGTATATGTATTAAATAGACGTGATGCTCAAAGTTAAAGAATGCTTTCAGCAACTTAACCAATAAGCCTCTGTTCTTTTCTTTTTCATGGTGAGCCAACACTAGAAACAAATATGTACTACCAAAATCATCAAAACACTAATTCAGACTGAACAGAAAAACCAATCACCTGTATGCCAGCAAACAGCATATCATTCCCCACCATCAGAGAATAAACCTGACCAACAGGTCCACTGAGACTCATATCAGTGACAGTCTCAATGTTCAATGCCTGCATTTATGAAGAATCAAGAACCTTCACACATTAGCTTATCATAAAAAGTGGGTGTTAACTTTATATAATAATCTCACAGAAAATCTTGCATCCCACCTCACCTTTACCATATTTGGCAACCCTATAAAAACCCAGGGCCCTTCACTGATCATACAGCCAATTTCTCCGCCCAAATGAACTGCACTGACACACTATAAAAACAGGAAACAATGCACGAGTAAGTTCCCATAAAGGAGTGTATAATTTTTTTGGTAAAGAAAATAAGAAAAAGTGAAAAACTCATGACCTAAGACTTGTTAACTGCTCATAAAATTGGGAAAAAGGAAGAGAAGCGAACACGATGACACATCAGATATGTCAAAGTTGCACACTTTCCAATTAATCTAGTACTAATCCATCTAGAAACAAGCAAATTCGACAGTAAGTTCCATAGTTAGGCCCTATTCACTTCCCCTTACAAAAATAATATTCAGTAAAAATAAGTTCAGTTCAGTAAAAATAAGTTCATTTCAGTAAAAATCATTAAACTTAAAGAAAAAATATAATAGAAAATCAGTAAAATTAATTTCAATTCATCAAAAATAATTTCATTTCAACAAAAATAATTTCAGTTCAACAAAAATAATTTCAGTTCAATAAAAATAATTTCAGTTCAATAAAATTAATTTCAGTTCAGCAAAATTAATTTCAGTTCAGCAAAAATAAGGTAAAGTGAATGGGGCCTTACAGGATGCTACATTTAACAACTTTCCCAGACTACTATTTATAATGCCAAAACTCCAAATATCATACACATTCATGTTAAAGTTGGTCAAGTGCAATCGATTCTACAAGCTCTTACATTCACCTTAATCCACAAGTCATATGATTCATTCGATACTCCAGACAATTTTATTACCTTATCAGGTTCTCCAGCATGTAAAGATCTTTTACATGTAGAAGCCACATGTACTTATGCCCCACAAATTGAATATGTAACCAATCTTGTCTATGTGAAGGACACACCCATATCTAATTACACGCCATAAAGAGTATTCTCCAAAGATAACTAGCAAAGCAAAGGAATTCAACCCAGATGATCGGGGAGGCTATTGCTAACAAACCAACAAGGCAATAAGCTAACAAAATGCATAAGCCCAATATAGAGTATATGTTCGGGGTAAGGGAATAAAATATTGTGCATACTGACCACTTTTATTTCGCCAAAAAAAAATGCAAAAAGGTAAGCAAAGTATGATAGCATTTGGCTGATTTCAGGTATAGCTGAATGATTTTAGTCTACTATCTCCATCCTAAAAATAAGTTTATTTTAAGGATATGATCAAAGATTTAAGAATATAAGAGTTTACAATTAAAATAGGAACAAGTAGCATCATATTGGTATTTTAAGCCAAACCGTAAAAAAGTGCATTCACTGCATTGATATTTACAGTGACAAATAATATGATGCAAAAAGTGATAGTTAAGTGGACACTAATTCAACAAATTTCCAAACAAACCGCGTCGTACTCTGTAGTCCAAAATATAAAAATCAAAAATTTAGGTATGGGGTGAATACTGAATAGTCCAAATAGCATGAATACATCAACCATACAATAAAGAACAGAAATCTGCTAATCACCAAAACAAAAGTTTATGAGCATATTCGAATAAAAAAGAACAAACCTGTCCTGATGCACAATCCCAAATCCTGACATGCTCGTCTTTACTGCCTGTGTAAAGCTTATCCCCTGATGGCAAAGTGATCCCAGTTACAACCTGACCCGAAAACACATCAATTCAAACGCACTGTAAATCAAGTCTCCCTAGGAGAGGAGGATATTTCCAATTTTAGCATCAATCAAAACATAGAAACACTAAACAAAACAACAAAATTACTCCCCAAACATCAATTTAATTTTTCAACCCATCAAACACAGCATCAAAAACCCGAAAACTGAACCCATCAAATTCAAGCAGCATTAGTTACTATGTGTAAATTATCATGATCATGTAAAATACACAAATCTCAACTACAGTTTGATCAGATTGAATAGTGAAGATTGCATTAGATACACAAAATTACTCCCCAAACATCAATTAAACCCATCAAACACAGCTCCAAAATCCCGATAAGCCGAACCCATCAAATTCAAGCAGCATTAGTTACTATGTGTATTTTATCATGATCATGTAAAATACACAAAATACACAAATCTCAACTACAGTTTGATCAGATTGAATAGTAAAGATTGCATCACGAAACATAATATCCATAACAAAAACATCAAATTGAATCTCTAATTTTAACAAAATCAAATTAAAAACATAAACAAAAACAAATCACAATACCTTCTGATGACCCTCAAGAGTAGTCAAAAGTGAAAAGGAACCACCAATCGACCAAGAATGCAAGAATTTACAACCATCACCATAACTACATTTCCCTTGAACCCAGTAATTACAAACTCTTTCCATCTTCTTCGGAGGAACCCCACCACTAGTACCACCAGGTCTACCCCAAGTATTATTAAAACTAGGGTTTTTACGGCTCGAAAAGCCGTCATTTCTGGGACCACCACCGCCCAAACCACCATAAGCCCTCTTAGCAGGGCCATTAAAAGACGAAGAAGAAGATGAAGAAGAAGAAGGGTGAGTAGGAGGAGGAGGAAGAGGAAGTTCTCGATGAAGAAAAGCACACGGGGTTCTCGTGCATCTTCCAGCTTGCCAGTGAAAACAAACTTTTTGATTTTGTTGTTGATGGGGTTGCGATTGTTTGTTTCCGAGTCGATGGAATACTCGTTTATTGCCGCCGTTTGAATCAAAATCCATTATTGGGGAAAAAAAATTGAATTAGGGGAATTGATTAAATTGGGGAAATTGGGAGGAGAGAGGAATTAGGGTTCTTGGATTAGTAAAAGAAAAAAGGGGTTTTGGTTTTTGTTTTTTTTTTTGGTGGGTGGTTGTGGAGGTGGGGAAGGCGGAGGTCGGATGAGAGAGAAAGAAACACGGCGGTGGAAGAAGAAGATTTGGGTTTTGATTTTGGAGGGTAAATCACTAAATATTTTTTGGTTAGTTTCTTAGTTGTAACTGCGCCATCTACCCGCACGAGGATAAATTTATTTGCAAAAATACATTATTTTTTTTTTTATTTTTTTTTTTTTGGGTAGGGATCAAAAATGGAAAGGGCTTACTATGGAAGATCCGACTCGGTCATCACTCGGATGAGATACTAAGGGTGTATTTGACAAATTGGTTATGGCTACTTTATATTGTACTTCAAAGTAGTTGCGTAGTAGTAAGATTAATTATACAGGATATTATAGATGTAAACAAAGTAGTTGATAGATGTAGTTGTCAAATTAATTGTATAATTAAGGTGTTCGGCAGTTAAAGTAATTGTTTAGTGAATGTATTCGACAAAATTTGAATGTTGCTAATTCAAAGGGAAATTTATAGCGTTTGACAAACACTACTTCAAAAGCTAAAAGTTATCATCCGCTTTGACTCCTAAACACACAAAACCACGTCTTCTCTTCCTCCCCTTTAACTCTCTCCACTACCATATCATTCTTCACGAAACTCATCGATATTAGGTCATTACTGTCAGACAAGGCAATTAAGATATTTTAATGTTGTCAAGCCAGATAAAAGGAAGTCATTTGAACATTGTTAGTCAAGAAAATGAGTGAATATACAATTTTCCTCCTTTGGTGTGTTAAAGAAATATTGTGACCAATAAAAGGTTTCAATAGCTACCCTTCTCACAAATTGGAGTACAACTTAATAAATGAAAATTTCTACCAATAATTCATGTATGTTAGCATGTAGCAAGCAACTTTAATATTGTGAATGTTATATCCTGGCGGAGCATCTATATATCATGCACCGAGGAGAATTAGCTTTAAGTAATATTACTCATATGTTTCTTATTCACATTTTTTTTTTTCTAAAACTTGGTTATTCAAAGCCTACTAAACTCCAACTAATCCGAATTCAGTCGAGTTAAATCTCAATTAGGAAAAAAGCTTTCCCAACAAATATTAGGACATTCTCAAATCTCAAAGCCTAAATCTTACTTAAGTTAGAATAAGTCTCTTACCCGCTGATCTAAACACTATTCTACGGCTTCGAGTATTTTATAGGGAGAGTGTGCATATTAGGGCCAAGGATGCATACTCTTTAACGAAATTTTGAAAGAAAGAAATAACCTCCTTTATCTCTATACTCTACACCAGGAGCTAAATTGAGTCTCCTGCTCATTCATCAAACTTCTACTGGCGCCAAGGTTCTCTCTAATTTTTTTTCAAATTCCTTATTTTACTTCTAATTATATTGATGAAACTATAGATTATACTAAAATTGAATTGCAAAATTATTTAACCTATAGTTGCAATTTCCAGGATAACTGCCAAACTATAACAGAATTGATGAGTGCAGCCCATCGAGCTATTTTCAAGGAGGTTGTAAAGCTCACCCAAGAACAAAACCTTCAAAAGGGTAAATTGATTCATGCAAAAATCATCAAATCAAATTCTTTTTCCAATGTATACTTAGCTAATAGCATTGTTAATTTGTATGCAAAATGTGGCCAATTACCCAATGCTAAGCTTGCTTTTGAGGAAATTCCCAGTAAAGATGATGTTTCTTGGAGCTCAATTATTAATGCCCATGCCCAATTTGGTGGCAATAATTCATCTTTCTATGTTTTTGATTTGTTTCGTCGAATGCGGGCTGAGAATTGTCTCCCCAATGGTTATTCTTTTGCTGGGATTTTTAGTGCAGTGTCAAATTTAGGTGATATCTGGGCTGGAAAACAGGTGCATTCCTTGGTGATTAAAACGGATTATGGTGGAGATGTGGTTGTTGGAAGCGCGATCCTTAACATGTATTGTAAATCGGGTTTTATGGATGATGCACGCCAGATGTTTGATGAAATGCCTGAGAGGAACTCTGTGTCATGGGCGACTATGATATCTGGGTATTCTGCGAGTGGTATGGCTGGAGAGGCTGTGGGGGTTTTTAAATTGATAGTGAAGGATGAAGAGGAGCGAGGGAGTCCCTTTTTCTTGACTAGCGTGCTTAGTGCATTGGCTATTCCAGAGTTGGTTGATGTTGGAAGGGAGGTTCATTGCTTTGCTGTTAAGGTTGGGGTGATACGGACTGTGGAAGTTAGGAATGCTCTTGTTACTATGTACTTGAAATGTGGGAGTGCGGACTATGCTCTCCAGATGTTTGCGTTGTCTACTGATAAGAGTCCTATTATGTGGTCTGCGATGGTTACTGGCTTTGCGCAGAGTGGACACTCTAAGAAAGCTCTGGAGTTGTTTTCCAAAATGCATTATTCTGGGGTTAGGCCTAGTGAATATACTTTCGTTGGGGTGATTAATGCGTGTTGTGACAATGGTGCCATTGAGGAAGGAAGGCAAATCCACTCTTATTCAGTTAAAATGGGATTTGAGGATCAAATTTATATTATTACTGCACTGGTAGATATGTATGCGAAATGCGGTAGCATTGCTGATGCTAGGAAAGGTTTTGATTGTTTGCAGGAGCCAGATGTTGTTTTGTGGACGTCAATGATAGGAGGTTATATACAGCATGGAGATAATGAAGAAGCATTGAGTTTGTATGGAAGGATGGAAGCGGAGGGAATTTTACCTAATGACCTAACAATTGCTAGTGTATTGAAAGGCTGTTCCAGCCTTGCTGCTTTGGAGCAAGGAAAACAAGTCCATGCCCGTGCCATAAAGTATGGACTTGCTGGAGAGATGACTATTGGAAGTTCTCTTTCATCCATGTATGCTAAGTGTGGGTGCATTGGCGAAGGCAACATGATATTTTGGAGGATGACCACAAGAGATATAGTTTCGTGGAACGCTATGATATCTGGTCTTGCTCAGAATGGGTGCAGTGACAAAGCTTTAGAGCTATTCGAGGAGATGAGATTAGAAGGTGTAAAGCCGGATAATGTTACTTTTGTTAATATTCTTTCTGCTTGTAGCCATATGGGATTGGTTGAAAGAGCCTGGGGATACTTCAAGATGCTTTCCAGTGAATATGGCCTACAACTGGGATTAGAGCATTATGCATGCATGGTTGATGTGTATAGCCGTGCTGGGAGGCTAACTGAAGCCAAGGAATTCATTGAATCAGCAACTTTGGATCATGGGATGTGTTTGTGGCGAATATTATTAAGTGCATGTCGAAATCACGGTCATTATGAGTTAGGAGCCTATGCAGGGGAGAAACTAATGGAGCTAGGCTCACAAGAATCATCAGCTTATGTCTTATTGTCGAGAATTTATACTGCACTAGGAAGATCAGATGACGTGGGACGAGTCATGAGGCTTATGAAGCTTAGAAGGGTGGGCAAGGAGCCTGGGTGTAGTTGGATTGAACTGAAGAGTCTTGTTCATGTGTTTGTTGTTGGAGATCAGAAGCATCCTGAGATAGCAGATATATGTAGCTGGTTAAGAATTTTAACTAAACAAATGATTGATGAAGGTTACCGACCTGCTTATGATCCATTTTTGACGACCTCAATTTAACTATGGGAAGATCGGGTTGAATTCAGACTTGATCTCTGGTACTAACCTATTTCCATTTAAACTTTGATATCGTGAGATTTTTGACATCTATATTTTAAGTGCAGTTATTCAATGTGTTTGGTCTTTTGCCCAGTGTCTTCACATTACAAGAGAATGTAGGCTTTGGAGGTTCCAAGCTTGAATTTCCCAATTTAGTTTGTCCAAAATTCCAAATCAACTTATTTTCTCTAGGTTTCTAAGAATGTCTATTGTTTCTAGCATATTGCTTGGCTTCAGTTACTATAGAGTTTGTCGTTAGTAGGTTCTGTTAATAGTTGGCCATCAAATGTAAGACTCAGGGGGGTTGGTTATATCAGATGGCCAACTTATATAAAATACTTATCTTAATTAATTATATGGTCTAAGACTTAAATGGGCCATATGATGAGTTTGGTAATCTAATTACTAACAAACACTTTATATAAATATGCTTTATTGCCGCATGAAAGAGATGATTTGCACATCAACTTCAGGTTTATTCACTATGGGGAACTTTCGTTTGCTTGGGTTTATCGGTGCACTGATTTGCCTTATTGTTGCATGCAGAGCCACCATGTACATGGTCGGTGATACCTCTGGTTGGGATATCAGTACTGATCTTGATTCATGGGTGACGGGCAAGAGATTCGTTGTTGGAGATGTTCTTGGTAAGGCTCTTTCCCCTTAATTTCCCTATTTTCTTGGGTGCTGGTCTCGTAATTTGAACTTGCATGAATAGATGAAAGTGCCATATCGTATAAATATTTAGAGATTTGGCTCCAAACTCAGCTTATTTTTTTTGTTTTTTTTGTTGCCATCTTATACAACTACTCCTGCGTTTCTAGATTATAGACCACATTTCTACCTAAGGTCATCACAAAATAATTAGACAATTTCTTAGTTAAGTTACACTTTGTACTTTCCCATTTTGTTCTTTAATGGACCCTTGACTTATAATTCCAGATAAAATTTAAATTTTCTCCAAAACAGTACAGTATATATATAATTACAACATACTCGTAAATGAAATTGGTGTGTTAAAGATTTAATTACTACGTATTTATACTATGAGGGATACTCCGTAGTTCATAACTATGACAAACTAAAAAAAATATGACCTCGCTTAAATAAGTTGCAGTCTAAGGATCATTCAAAACTATTTATAACTCATGACAATATATTTACTCTGTAGATAGAACAGATTGCCAGCTGTATAGCTGATGCATAGATTTATCAGGCTAGTTTGTACCAGTATTCTTATTTTCTTATCGTATTTGCAGCATTTCAATTCTCATCATCATCAGTATGTGAGCTGACAAAACAAGAGTTCGTTAGATGCGACACCAATAATGCTTTGCTTAGAAGTACCTCAGGAAACACAACCTTCCCTTTAACAAAACCAGGAGACAGGTACTTTGCTTGCTGCAACCGACTTTACTGTCTAGGAGGGATGAAGCTTCACGTACATGTTGAACCTAACTCAACTGCTGTGTCAACTGCTTCAACAGCAGGGGCACCTGAAGCAGCTCTAGCACCAAATTCCGTGGGTTTACTCCCCAAAACTTCCAAGAGCAATCACCCTGTTCTAACTTCCTCAGCTGAGTTTGTCAGAATTGGCGATCCTTTCTTCCTATCTTTGCTTGGTTTTCTGGGCTTCTCAATTCTGAGTGTGGGTATTATTTGAGATTATTTCAGGTTATATATTTGACCATTTATACATAATACATGAGTTGAAGAGTATTGTTACTTTTGTATACATTCTTTGTGCTAGAAACATAAGCTATTATTGTAAAAGAAATATACACTGTATTTACATATATACAAGCTACAATTTTGTTAAAATTTCTTTTACTTGGAAGACCAAGCATGGCCTTTCTGTTGCAACTACCAGACTAGAACAATGCCTTGTGAGTTGTGACTTCAACAACAATGCCACGACCCCAAAATTTAAGGGAAGATGATAAAAATGACAGCATATATAACACAATTTTAGCAGGCATACAACATACAGAACCACTGTATTGCTCAACTGCCTGCATCGCAAAAGCTAGTAGGGTAGTAGGATAAATGGATGGTTTTGAAGAATCAACATCAATCATATTGTCAAAATTGCATTGTTACAGGATCTCTGTATTGTATCTATGACGGAATTGATAATTAGATGTACAAGAACGATACAGTACCCTTATCGTTGAGTCCCAGATCAACTAGCTAGTTTGAAAGCATCAATAAATAGACCATACGTAAATCCCATCTTAAAATTGTTGAGAAGAGCAATTGGAAATGTTACCTTTGATCGACTATAATAGAATTTGGTTGCATATTCAGTGAGGAGCACACACAATACAGCAGCAATAACATCATTGACCCCTAAAGCTCCAAAGGACAAAGAAATTGTTTGTGCCACATAAAACCCACCTAATAAGGCAATTCCCCCAAAGAGTGCTCTTCGAGAAGGTCTCTTGAAATAGTTTCTTGAAATGTCTGGTACAGTACGAATGATGTCTACCAGCCTTCGAGGGCCCACATTATCTTGCACAGCTCGGATAGGACGAAATCGGACTGGTGACTTTGAAACAAGGGAGTCAAATCTTCCATATGAGATCTTTTTATTGAGACTTAAGCCATAATTAAGGAGCCCAATGGGGCTCATACCCACCGCAACCGCCATGGAGGAAATGAAAAAATGTTACCCTGCAGAAAAAGGTATTTTATGTCAGAACTAAATGCCACAGCACCCAGAATGTTCCTATTCTTAGCATTGTTACTTTAGGCATGCTACAAAGAACACAACCAATTCCTCTTGCAATTACAAGTATTGGCTACATGATGCTAAAAATATATGTTTCACTTCCTTGAATAAAGATAAGCAAATGCAGTATTAAAACTTGCACAGGATGATGATGATGTATCAAGCCAAGCGACGCTAAAGCTTATTATGTATGCTTTACACATAATTTGAATACTAAAGAATCGGCAAAAATCCCGAGGGAATAATATCTGAGCAAATCCTAGCAGAGTACCAGAAGTGCTCCCGCTCAACCTATGTATACATTTCTCGATTTCCTTCCTCTCCTTTTGCCCCCATTTATTTTCCAGATCCTGGGATAGGATGGTTGCTAAAAAAGCTAAAAAAAGTCGATTACTTTGGAAAAGAAAACAGCCACACCACACCATCTCTAACACTATATATGCAACATAGCATGCAATTAGCTTCTACCCCATTGACGACTAAACCTGCAAAAGATGAAAGAAGCAAGAGAATAACATATTGTAATGCACAACAGCAGAACATTGCTTCCATTTCCCAAACACTGTCAAGCTTCAATGTCTCACCACCAAAATGCTTTCAGTAATTAATTACTCTTCCAGAAGACAGCAACGAATCGTAAGGAAAGCTAAATAGGTATCACTGTTGATCAAGAGAGCAAGCATTCCTAGTAATGGACAATTGGACTTATAAAACTATATTACAAGGGAAGATAATTAATCCCAAAAACAATTTCTTTATCTGCTCTCTGCTCTCTTCTGTTCACTATACCAGGGGTGCAACCAAGCTAAGAACCCTGACCTTGCCATTTGTCAAGGGACTCTCAGCCAACTTCCGGAATTAGACGTTTTGAGCCAATCTCAATTGTTTTCATTCCAAAATGCCCTCTAGGTATACCAAATTACCAATGAGCCATAATATCAAACAATGCCATCGAAATTCCATCATGATTCCCCATTGCTCAGCCTTGCCATTGCCAATCTTGCACTCAACGGAATACATTTGAGGCTGACTCAGGTGCTAAATCTAACACTCACCTCTCATATTTCAGATAATTTTATCAAAATCGAGTCTCAAAAATTCAGAACATAGAAGCTTATGCTGATTCCCACACCACCAATTACAACAAGCCCAATACGATCAAGGGTTTTCCTTTAACTACAAAAATCGAGCTAATTACACTACAAAAAAATGAAATGAAAGCCCTAAAGGCTAAAACTAATCAATCAGTCAATTATCCTAAAGAACAATTTGCTAATTCAAAATTGCTTTGATGCATCCACAACAAAAAGTAATGGAAACCCTAACCCCAAAAATGTATTCAAAACTGGCCAAATTAGACCACAATAAGTCATTAATCAGCCCCTAAATCCAACCCAGCAACAACATAATCATGCAATCATCAAATTGAATGATTAAAACACGAAATCAAATTGAGCAAAACAATCGACAAAAGTAGAACATTACATAGTTAGAATAACATAATTAACCTTAAAAATCACAAATTTAGTCAACAAAATGACAAATAAACTAACCTTGGCAGAAGCAGATAGGTCGAGAGAGAACTAACAGCAGAGATATGAGTCAACTGTGTGTGTTTGAAATTGATAAAGATTGTCTAAGCTACATTCATTCCAAACTTTTTGGATTCTTTTCTTTCTCCCTTTTCTTTTTTTTTTTTTTTTTTTTTTTTTCCGGTTTGGTGAAGTCACTATCATGTACTCAATCCTACTCATAGAGTCAGGTGGACTATTGTCATGGAGAAATGATGGACAATTTTCTCAATTTTGAGTTCCTTTGTCGGGTGTGTCATTCTAAAATCTTACTCCTTTCGTCTCATAATACTTGAGACATTAGGATAGACACGTAGTTTAAGAAAATTATAAGTGGATCCATTTAAAATATTTGTTTGCTATATAAAGAATTTTATTTTGTATTTTTATATGGTAAGAAAATAAAAAGTGGGGGAAGTGGGGGTAATAAGGAGAGAGAAAATATAGGATTTAATTAGATTTTGGAGTTTATGGTCCCAAAGAGAGTATATGAAAATATTTTTTTATTAGTGGTCTCATTCCATATTGAGCAACGTGTCAAGTATTTTGGGACGGGCGAAAATGGTAACTGTGTCAAATATTATGGGACAGAGGGAGTAATAATGAACTCTTATTTCACCTTATATACCTATGTCAAACCCTCGACACTCACACATGGTATAACACATGGACACATCACTTTTAGTTCAAATTATATTACTTCTTCACAAATTACTTGAGTCGGACAATTGGACATGTACCCGTGTCGGACATGGGTATCTGAGTCTATGTAACGTAGGTTTTAACAACAAATATTTGATGATACTAGCAATATATATACAACAACATCAAAGCCTTAGTTCCAAAATGAATATTGACATTATATATGAAGAAAAAAATGTGTATTATAAACAGCAATGATAAATCTATCTCTAAGAGTGATGGACAGCTCAAGTGGTTAGAGCTCTCTTCCCGATTCCAAGAGATTTTGGGATCGATTCTCATCACCTGCCCTTGGGCTCTCTAACACACACACACACAAAAAAAAAAAAAAAAAAAAAAAAAAAAAAAAAAAAAAAAAACTATCTCTAAATTGATAACATTTTGTGAAAAATATGAAATATGATATTTAGACAAATCTAAACTTGAAGATTGACTAAGACTCATGAGTTTCTCGCCTTTGTAAATTAATTATTTTTTAAATACAAAGAATATCACAGAGTATACCTATTATATATTGGGATTGATTTATTATTGATTTAAACTACTTTGAGGTCTTTATTACAAGAAAGATACACACGCCAAGCGTAATAATTCTCAAGTCAAATATATCTAAATGATTTCGCTTAAGCTATACGAAACTTTAAATATTTGAATTTATTAACTTTGAAATAAATTCAGTTATCCTTTTTTTTTTTTTTTTTTTTGTTAGGAACTCGTTAACATGAACTCAATTAAATTGAATTTTATTGACCCTTAAATTGAGCTAAACTAACTTACTAAATTAAATTCTCAATTAATATGGATCCAACTTTCAACTAACATTTTTAACCACTTTTATGAAGATAATGTTTGTCTTCTTTTTTTTTTCTTTTTCTTTTGACATCATCAATGTTTGTCTTACTTAACTATTTACGTTATACTTTAATGCAAATGGAAATTCAACATAATCCGTAGCTCTTCTCTCTTAGCGTCTTTCTCTTCTCTCCCCTCTCTCTTTAGGGTTTTAATTTTATTGGCTGTTTAGGTCGAAAATAGTCTAATTTCTTCGAAAATTTGACTATTTTCGACCCATTTTCTTTGATTTAATTCGCTTATTTGTTATTTGATTTGTTTTGTTCTCTCCATTTGTGAGAGTCTATCCCAATTTTTTGGGATTTTGATTCTCATCTATGGATGATAATTTTATTTTTAGGGTTTTAATATTAATTGAGAAGGTGATTTGGATTCATATGAGTTTAGGCCGGGTTCGTCATCAACTCTACGATCAAAACATCAGCGCAGATTACAAAGGTCTCTAGTTGGAAAGATGCAAGAACATCGAAAATCACCGCTCGTGTCAAGTTTGAAGCGGTGGAGTGTGAGCTATGCTCGATATGCAAAATAGTTATGATTTTGATTGTAAAAGGTATGTTATTTTCACTAGATCAATGGTTTACAAATCTTTATCATTATTATTATTATTGTAAATGCTGTATGGCTATTTATTAATGATAGTATACTTCTTCCTGTCAAAAAAATAAAATAAAATACAGATGCACTTATATCGCCTCTTTCTTACTTTAGCTTTGTTCTATATGTGTTTTATTTGTAGATGTTACCTAATCGGTCACTAACTTTCTCTTCTTCTTCTTTTTTTTTCTTTTATTTTTCCTTTTAACTATAATAAACCTATTCTCATGCACAACTATTGAAAAGTCAAGGAAGTACAATTAGCTCAATAATGAAATAGAAAAAGGTGAAAACTTTCTCCTTAAATCCTAATATGATAGATTACCTTAAATGTAAAAACATACTGTATTAGAAACATAATTTATTTTTATTGTTGTTCAAAATAGGATAACAACTTATAAAAAAATCGCATAACCTTTAATATACTCTTAATAAATATTTAGCATAATAAACTAATAAAACGAGGTAGAGAAGGAAAGACAATTGACAACTAAACAACTAAGACAAGGAAGAGTAAAATTAAGCAAATAAAGAAAGCAAGCAAAGTAAACATAAATTAGTTAAATTATAGGAATAGTTACCCAAAAATCACACTAGTAAATTCTTCAAACTTTACATAAACAAGCAAGTTGGGCAACTCAGAGCCAGAGACCAGAGTAGACCAGAGAAGGCAGCCCCCACTTTCAGAGGGCCATCTTCTCCAACGTCTCCCTCTTTCTCTCTCTCTTTCAATCTATTCTCTTATCTGCTTTCTCTCTCCAGAATCTTCCAGGTTTCTCTCTCTTCTACTCTGCTTGTAATAATTTGAAAAAAAATAAAAAATAAACTTTATAATGCTGAATTTGTGCTATGAACTTGCTGCTTGCTTTGCTTTTATGCTAAATTTTTTGAGTTGGGTTGCTTTTTTTTTGGTTTAATTTTTGTGGGTATTTGCTGAATTCTGCTGATTTTACTCCAGTAGTTGAGTTTCAGTTTGTGGGTATTCACTGTTTTTGATTAATTAATATGGATTTGAAATTTAAATTTACATAGGGTTTAGTAATTTCCATGGTTTTTCTAGATTCATTTGCCTAGTTTTGTTTAAAATGTACAATTTTATGTAATAACAATGGTATCAAATTTGAAACTTTGAATTAGTATGTCTGGGTTTGTTTAAACTTGAATTTTCAGTTAAGTGTGATCTGTTAGATCATTTATAAGGTGCTTTGTTTGGTTCCATTTTATTACTAATATTCAGCATAAAAAGTGCATTTTTATTGCTTTTCTGTAGAATAAATTTGGGATTCTAAGTTTTGGTGCACTTATTTTTAATTTGCAGATCCTGTTATTACAAAATTGTTTAATTGGGTAGCTTGAACTTTACTTGTTCTGCTTGGATCTGTTGAGCGTGGAAATTTTGCTGATATAGCGCCGTATAATGTAGATGTATCTTGTTACTCAAGTTGAGTTTTATTGTCAAATTTGAACCTTTAGTAGCTAAAGAGTGGTTCTTTATTCCGTTTGAATTTTGACTTTTGAGTTTGGTTTTGGTACTGGGGTGGTTGTGAAGCTTCGAACTTCAAACGTTGAATTGTATTTTGTGTACTCATTTCTTTTGAAGAAGGTAGCGCAAAAGCTTGGCGAAAATTGACCAACTTTACATAGAAGCAACTTTGTCTTCTGTCCCCTACAGTATTTGCTTAAGTCCTAATTCTGGAATTGTAGTTTTGAAATGGCTGTTGGCAAAAACAGTAGCAACACTGGACAAATAACTCAGCCATGCCGTTGTTTCAAGGTGGCGGACTTAAAGGAAACTATCTTGGATGCTACTGAGACATCTGATTTAAAAGATCGTTATGTTTTAGGAGATCAATTGGGTTGGGGACAGTTCGGTGTGATCAGGGCGTGTGCTGATAAGTTTACAGGAGAGTTATTGGCGTGCAAATCAATTTCCAAAGAAAGGCTGGTAACCCAAGATGATGTTCGAAGTGTGAAACTTGAAATCGAGATCATGAGCAAGTTATCGGGTCATCCTCATGTGGTTGATCTCAAGGCAGTTTATGAGGAAGAAGATTATGTCCATTTGGTGATGGAGCTCTGTGCTGGTGGGGAGTTGTTCCACCGATTGGAGGAAAAAGGAAGGTATCCTGAGTCTCAGGCCAAGATCATATTTTGGCATCTAATGCAGGTAGTCTCGTATTGCCATGATAATGGTGTAGTTCATAGAGATTTGAAGCCTGAGAATATTCTTATGGCAACCAAGTCATCTTCTTCACCAATCAAGCTAGCTGATTTTGGTCTTGCTACTTATATTAAGCCAGGTAGAGCACTCTTCTTCTACTAATTTGTTTACCTGTGTTTGTTGGACTCATTCATTTCACCTCGATATCCATCCATGTTGAAAACTTTTGATACTTCGACATAGGATAGACACTTGGACACTCTGATGAAAGGATGCAATTTTTTCATATGATGGTCAGTCTGACCATAAATAATATTAAGTAATATTGGGTTTTAGCAAGTGGTTTAAGCATTTGGTTTCTGGTCAAGCAGGGCAGAGCTTGCATGGGACAGTGGGGAGTCCGTTCTATATAGCTCCTGAAGTTCTGTCTGGAGGTTACACCCAAGCTGCTGATGTATGGAGTGCTGGTGTGATTCTCTACATTCTTTTGAGTGCTATGCCGCCGTTTTGGGGTAAGACAAAGTCAAGGATTTTTGAAGCAGTTCGAGCAGCTGATCTGCGCTTCCCATCTGAACCGTGGGACCGAGTATCAAAATCTGCCCAGGAACTGATCAAGAAAATGCTCTGCATAGATCCATTGAAGCGCTTGACAGCTGAGCAAGTTTTAGGTATGATTTCGTCCTCTTTGCTAAATACAGATGACAAACATCAGTGTACAAATTTTGTACCACAAGTGGTTAGTGTATCTTATTATATGTCCTGATGGAGATGATGACTTCTACAAGACATCAAGCTTGAATGACAAATCTTCTTTACCTAACATTAATGAATCAGTTATACCTGATTATTAGTCAAATTAATAATATCTCCTTGGTGTCCTTGGACACTTGAACCATTATTAGAAAAATATTGTTGCATGCTTAGTTTTTTGGAAGTACTTGATAAATTAACACTCCGTGATTAATTTCATTGCTTTCCAAACAATATACGGTACAAGATTACAAGCTAGAATCTGGCTCCAATTATGTTAACGAAATCATGATGTTATAAGCTAATTATACATATGCTAAGTATAAAAGATTATTAACATAGTACTAACCATATTCTTTTGATTCCCTGTAGCTCACTCGTGGATGGAAGAGATTTCTTCAGCCACTGAAGATTCACATGAACATGATGGTTTTAGCTCCAGGCAATTAAAAACTCGAGATAGCTCATTTATAGCCAGAGATCATGATATTAGCTTTGGCACTGGATCAGCAGTAAACTGTGAGCCTCAATCACCAACATTTACATGCAGATCATCTTTCTCGGCGTTTTTTGTGGAGCCATCCACACCCACCCTCATATCAAGTGGATTCTCTTTCCGTAGCAGTGGGGATTTCTCTGCTATTGAGTTTGTTTCGCCCATTCCTTCCATGCCTAGTTTCACATTTTTCAGCCCTAGCTCAGTAGCTGAGCATGGAAGTCAACATGGGAGGTTTTCGAGCGACAGAGAAAGCACTGATGAAATTCATGCAGGTAGATTTCGCTTTTCTATTCGTCATCGTATCTTTTTGGCAGATTTGTCACAGGTTCCTGGTGTCAAATTTGCAACTCCCTTGGTCATGAGCATAGTATAGTCTCATATATTAACCCTCTTAACAAAATAGTTATTGTCTAAATCTAACGTTGGATTTGCAACCTAAATGATCTGAGTTTGTCAGGAACTTCTCTCTGAATTTCCATTTATGCCCACCACATCAGTAGATAAATAACATTTTTACGGTGTTCTATTGCACTTCTAGAAAACACAATATTTTCTGTTTCTTGTTGATTGATTAATGTAGTGTGTTGAGCTTCCTAAGTCCTAACACTAGGTTTTATTGATATCATTTGTCCTAACATCCAGGTTTTATTGACATCACTTCATACAACTAATTTCAATGTTTGTTTATCAGGAGAGGATGTCTTGGAGAAACAATCTGAATCACCCGATTCTTCCCTGAGCTCAGAAACTGATGCTAGGGACCTGGATCAGAAGTCAGCAGACTCTAAGAAGAGTGTAGGGACAGGCTTGAGGATTTTTGGTATCCACAGCAAGAGAAATAGAACGATTGGGCTTGGAGAGTTTGACCAGCTTGATATTGTGGTGACTGAATCAGTTATCCGATGGGCTTCATGCACCAACTTACCTACTGGATCATCACTCAGGGCTTCTCTTGTATGCTGATGGTCTTGGACCAACCCATATATATCGATAATATCATATATCATGATACAAAGTTGGACAACATGCAACCGTGTGGATCCTGCTGCTCTTGTAAAAGATTAATTTACAAGGGGTTGAAATTGTGTGTACTGCTGTTGATGATAATTCTAAGTTAGAAAGCTAATGTTAACGGTTAGATTGCAATGAATCTGCAGAGAAAAAAGAGCAGATTCTTCTTCAAAATGTGTAAAGCATGGATTTTGAAGGCACTGATTTCCTGAACTTTTTTGGGTCATAATTTTACAAATGTATAGAAAGCTTTTTTGTTCTCATTACATGTCATTGCTAAACCTTTGACTTGAACAAATTCCTTGCACTATATTTTTATTAGGTCCGAAGAAGCCACATTGACACTTGCTAATCTATGATTGATCTATCATTGTCAAATCCTCAATCTTTGTTACTAGACCAAAACCCCGTGATTGTGTGAACTGTGAACATACCGAAAGCCTATAATCTCTAAATCAAGACCAACCAAATCATATACAACATTGACCTAATTAGTATAATACTAAAGTTTCCATGTTAGTAGATGTTATTGGAGAGAGATAAATGTGTAGGCATCTTTTGAAATTATTACAAAGTTGTTGACTTCTTTCATGTGTGGATAAAATTGAAAGATTCATGTATAATTTGATACCCGAAAGTGAAGTAAGTAATGAATGTTATGTATGTTACAGTAAGAAAGTAGAGAAGAATCTGACATTAATAATGAATTCAGAGAAATGGCCGACCGAATCACAATGATCTGGACCCAGGCTGGTTTAACTTTGGTATAAATGCTTCGTGTACATTTACGTGACCTTTACTAAAATCATCATATATGGTGGAGGGACCATGAATGTATTGATGTACATATAAATTCGCTGGATTCAATACATTGAAATCATTCAAAAGGGGCATTCAATGTCTAAAGTGGTACAAGTATATGATTTTGTACACCGGTGTGGCACGTGTACGGGTGAGGTGAGCGTGTGACGTTCATGCACAGCGTGCAATATTTATGTTTCAACGTGTGTTATGCACATGATACATATACACATTGTTGTACCATACCTTATAATTATATATCTTTAAATATAACAGTATGTAATAAAATATGAGTTCTGCTTTAATGAGTACAATTGAGATTAACATCTTTCGACATTTTGTGTCCTCAAGTTTCCACGATATTTTTCTAATAACACATTTATTATATTTCCAACTAAATGAAGTAAAAGCATATTATCATTATCCTTAATCATCAAATATAATTATCTATAGCGTTAAGGTAAACGAACCAACCATATTATGCGCCACCAAACTATTCTTCCTCACAAAAATGAAAAAAAATTACAAACTAATTTTGCAATATAAAACCAAAATAGGAACCATCCTTAGACTTTAGATCTGTATAATTTTCTTTACAAATAATTGAATTCCTTGTTTAAATAAAAAGGAAAGTCCATATTTGATGCAAAGTTCATGCGAGGTGTTGATGATGACAACTAGTCAACCACCAGCAAGTCAACAAGTGTGATTCCCTTTGCAGATTCTTAACAACAGAAGATTGATAAATATGCATGCATGCCCAAATTAATTCATGGTCATCATACTATATCTTGATTCTAAAGATTTGAGGGGCCTATTATATTTTCTTTGCTTAAATTTTTACAGTTAAAGGCATAAATGTTTACATACTGTTTTCTGTTGCATGTTGGTCCATATGTAATACATTAAACAAGACAGTATAAATCACTATTAATGCTTATGTTTTTTTCTTTCTTTCTTTCTTTTATGCATCACTATACTAAGTTACTAACCGTTTGATTGTAATCTATGAAAACTTTTCTTTCCCTAAGGATGTCAAAAAAACAAAAAGGGGGTGCTTCTAGTACATATAAAGTACAGTGTAATTTTCGACTACAATTAACTGTATTACATGAGAATTAATTTTTTAATCATAAAAAATTCACGACATTGACTTTAAAATTTGAAAACCATGTAATGATGATTGGTTGTTAACATACACTTTGTACAACACTTCATAAAAGAAATTATCCTCCTCGCACAAGATCAATAATCCTTGAATTTCAAACAGTTTCTATATGTACTTTCGAGTTCTATTTACTTAATAATTTGTACTTATTTTCAAACCAATATTGTTTTAAACTTTTAATACAACAACATTACATGATAAAAAGTTAATTCGTCCCACATATTGACTTCTTTTAATACAACATCATCACAAGATAAAGTTGTTTCCATTAATATGTGGCTATGTGCTTCTTGTTTTAAGAATGTGCTTGCTTGTTCTTCAAAATTAAAAAAGAATGTGCTTGCTTGTTGCTTCCATGATTTAATAAGTATTTAATGGGCCATAAAAACAACTTATGATAACCGAAGCCCAAATTTACAGATCACAATTATATTCAATGAGAAAGCTGTCCAAGCCCAATTATTAAAAGAAATTTTTCTTCTCTTAGATAAATTTAATTTTGTTTGGTCCACCAATTTGAAGCTTGTGGCACTGATAAGATAAACAAAAACCTGACCACACACATTCAAGAAACAACATTACATTCATATGCTTTGTTTCATATTAAGTCTCCAATATCATATTTTTATAAAAATCATTCCTAACAAAAATGAATTATCATGCTAATTTCTCCCTAAAACCTCAAAATCCATCCACAAAACTTCCTACTAAAAAACCACCAACATTATTATTAATCTCATCAAATTATTTGTCACAACCCAAACTACATAAAACTCATATAATAGCACTATCTTCATCCACCCAAAAAACCCAAGAAAATAATCAGAAATTAAGTTCACCAAATTCTTATAATGTTGAATTTAAGACAAAGGGAGGTTGTAAGCTTGGAATAGCAAGATATCCTGATTTTGTGTATGATGCTGAAGGTGGGTTTGGGAGTGGAAGTGGTAAAAATGAGTCAAATGGTAAAATTTTGGTAGAATTTGATGTAGATAAGCTTTATGTTCCTCCATTAACAAGTGGGACTACAAAGTTTTTGGGGTTGCCTTTGCCACCTTTTTTGAGGATTGATATTGTGCCTGAGATTTTCAAGGGATGCATTGATCAAGAGTCTGGCAAGGTTAGAGATGTTTCAAATTTCACTGTTTTTTAGGCTTCTTTTTATAATTATGATTTGATTGCCAAAAGACAATTAGTGGATAAAGGTTAGCCGTCAAAGCATGTGTTTGATGTAAATGTTCGGCATAAATAGCTATTGAAGTACTAATTTTAAAAAAAATGAAATTGAAGCTTACAGCTGATTATATATTGATTGCAGGTTGATCTTGAATTCAGGGCCAAATTCTGGTTTTCAATGGGGACAATCTACAAAGCACCACCATTACTGGTGTCGACGAACTTGACATCTGAAGAATCACAAGGAAAATTGAGAAAAGGGAGAGGGCAAAGAATGGAGAAAGATGGAAACTGCATGTTGGTAGGGGTGGCAACAGTGGATCCTATTGATGATCTCTTCATGAATACGTTCCTTGGCCTTCCTACTGAATGCCTTGCCGTTATGAATGCCACTATCTCTTTATAATACTTTACTTGAGCAAATATGGCTTAGCTTCATATCACCAACTTTTTATCGAGGATAATAGCATATATAAGAAACTATCGACTAATGTCAGTAGATATCTAGTGCGATCATTGTATATCCCAGCACAACAAAAAAAATGGTATTAAAAATCTTTTATGTACTTTTTGAAGTTGGCAAATCAATGAAATCATTCATGCTTTGAATGTTAATTGCATGTAAAAAAAAATTGGTATGATAAATAAAAAGAGATTTGTGTCCTTGTATAACAAGGGTGAGCAGGTATTTAAAAACACCTAGAACCAATACCACACCTCTAATTACAGCTTGTACATATGACTAAAGAAAAAACACCAATCTACAAACAGGATCAATGGTTATCTCCTTCATCCTTTGAGTCTTCTTCAGCCAGCAACCAGAAATGCAGTGCTCCAAATCTTCCGCTGTAAACCAAATTATTGTTTCTCAGACACAATTATCAAAGAATAGTATTACAACAATAAACGTTTAGACACTGAATGGCTGCAAGCTGCACTTATCAGTACAGCTGCAACGGAAGTGGGAGATAGACCAGCAACCATATCAAATCAAGAATGATAAAAGTCAAAGGCCAAGTTCCAGTCAGATAAATTTTTCTCTAGAAACAGTACACATTCCACCATTGTACCGACTATATGGGTAAGGAATACCATAAAAATTACTTCAGCATACTCAGATAAAAAATTGTAAATAGACCAATTCCACAGCTAATCCTCTGCTACATACGACTTTAGTCATTAATTGGAAAAGCTGTTTGTGTGAACGGGACAGAGCAACTTGCTGTGCAGTTTGCCAGTACAAGTCGAACTAAATTAAAACCCAAACTCTTAGTTTCCGTAGGGATCAGCGATAAGGCCCCTCCTCTTGCCATAGATATGATATTTACAGCTGAAGGGAGCACCAGAGCACTAACTATGAGCAACCAAGGGCAGAGGGTGGCATAGATGGGAATTGCAAGTTGGTCAGTGTGGCTTGGGTTGATCATCTTGATGACATTACATAAGTATAGCTCTTGGCCTGCCTTCTGAATGCCTCACCAGATTGAAAGCCACTATATCTTATTTCTAGTTTCGACTCAATACAAATCCAAAAGTACGAATTTTCCAGGACAAATAAAATAAGAAAGAGAACTAAAGCAAAGCACACAGAAGGATCAATTTATCAAATTGTTAGTCAACCATGAAAGTTACATGCAATAAAAGGAAATTCCGATTGTTTCTTACCATGTTTTACAGCAATGAATCAGCAGCCGATTGTAACAAGTGATTGTTGTGCTTCTTTACATGAGAAATGTACTAAGAACTTTCTTAGTTCTTTATCTTGTTATAGTATCTGAAGTATCCCTTTGAAACTGAAGCATATCTTCTAGAAAAACAGACAAATAAAGAAAATTTAAAATAAATTATAAGCAATAGTGCAAATGGGATCATTAAGGGAACAAAAAATTGCTAGGAAATAACCTTTCCACCTTCAGTAGCGCTTTATGATGGACATTGACAGCCATTATGGTAATATACTGCAAATTCACTCAAACGCAAGCCTCTGGGATCCCACTAATGAAGCATATTGGCCATCTTGTGACAACAATTCATAGTGTGTCCCAAGTTCTGCAATCCTCCCATCAGAACAAAGTGCAATTTGATGGGCATTCTGCACTGTGCTTAAACGGTGAGCTATTACCAATGTAGTTCTTCCTTTCATAAGATGATTCAAAGCATCCTGGACCAAACGCTCACTAACTGTATCCAAGGCACTTGTGGCCTGCATGAAATTTAATTATAAGTCAAATATTCAAATCTATTTGTCTGTGCAGCCTGAAGGCTTGGAAACAAGATCACTATATCGATGTCAGTATGCCTTCATCAGGGAATTAATATTCATCATCGCAGGAAACACTTTTCTTCTTATAAAAATAGATAATTTTCCTTCCCTGGTGGGATGGTCCAACTTGTCAGTTACTATTGTTTTCCTAGGAAAAAAAAAAAGGCCACCAAGATGGCATTACATACCTAAGCAAAACAATATGATTCAGTGTTCACATAAAATCAATGTAAACAAACGGAAAAATTAATAAGGGCTGCATCATTTTCATCTTTCTTGGTCACTATAGCTTTCACGAGAAATAATACGAGAGGCACTAATACACAAAATAAAGAATAACAAATGAATAAGTGATATGCTGAAGACAACTGATGTCCATTGACTTGACTGTTTAGCAAAATCCACAAGTTTCATTAGGGAGACAAAGCAAAGTACTTGGATTTATGGCCCTGCAGGGAAGGGGAAGATATAAGAGAGGAGAAAGAGCTTATTCTCTGACAGAGCAGAGATTGGTAACTACATTGTGGCTATTCAACAACATCAACTGTCAACTAAGAGGGTTAATTACAAGAATAAAATATCAACAGCAGGCAGCAGTCAGAAGGCAATAGAAACACCAATGATTGATAAATACCTCATCAAGAATCAAAATTGGAGCATTTTTTAGAAGCGCCCTCGCAATAGCAACTCTCTACAGAGAGAAAGGTTACAAATTAGCATGTATACCTTATCTTTTACATCCTCCTTAGAAATTCAACAAAATATTAAAACATGTTATACCTGCCTTTGCCCCCCACTAAGGAGACCTCCACGCTCACCAACTAGAGTGTCATAACCCTTAAAACATACAATATTTAGCAAGGATAGTATCATTACATATATATTTCCTGTTTCAGAGGAGCCAATACAAACCTGTGGGAGTGAGATGATAAATTCATGAGCGTTAGCGGCTTTTGCTGCTTTTACTATATCGTCCTTAGATACATTAGCATCAGGTTGACCATATGCAATGTTCTCTGCAACAGACACAGAGAAGAGTACTGGATCCTGCACAAGGTTAGTCAGCATATGTTTCAGAAAGACATCATAAGACTGACAATTTGAGTATCAGATGTACCCAGATGATACGTATACTTAATGTATATACTTGTATATGTAACCAGCCTGACAGTTTACCAGCGTGTTGACTGGTACACTGGTTTGGCAAGTTATACCATATAGCATCTTCAAATGTTTGACTGAACTAGCAAGAAGTCCAGCTCAGCAGTCTGAGCAGCTAGTTCAGTACAGTTTTCAGAAATAACAGTTCTAGTTACAGGGAGCCATCTGGTAGGACAGGACATATTTACAATGGATGTACAGTGGGTTTGGTAATTCCAGGCTCAAATTACCAAAGGGTCAGCCCTCAGACAAATATTAGGTTTCAGTTTGACCCAACAGTCGAAAGCACTTTAGAATTATTACATATTGCTGGCTACTGAAGCATTTCAAATTTTTTAAACGAGTCTAAGGGAAAAAAGGTTTTTCTTTACTAAGAAAGTAAATAACGCATTAATAATGTAAAAAACTACTGAGAATTTAGTTGATGTCGAAAAAATCCAACGAAAAACTACTCCATACTAAATTGAAAAAAAATAATTAACAAGGGAGGAAATTGTAAAAGGAAAAAAAGGAAAGCACGAGGAGAAAAATATATAGATCTTGAAAGAACATGAATAGAAGAACAGTAAAGCAAAAGACTCAATCTATAGCTTCACAGACAGAGCATAATGGTCAAAACATAAGACCTACCAAAGGCACTATCTCCTAATGGTGTGAACCTTATGCAATTCAATTAATTAGTTCATGAAAGGTTTAACTGATTGATTTGTGAATAGACAATCAAACCCATCCCAATCCAGACTCTTCTGGTTTAAATGGACAGGGATGAATTTGGGACTTTGGGATTCTTTTCTGGTGTATGGCAGCCATAGTTTAAGCTGCATCTGATGCCACATAGAAGCTATCTAGATTCAAATGCCCAAAAAAATAAAAGCAAAAGTTAAACAGCTAAATGCTTAATTGCTGAAAACCTACTTGATTCACTATTGAGACAGCTCGAGCCCATTCACTTTTATCAAACAATCTAACATCTTCTCCAGCCACAGTTATGCAGCCACTGGTTGGCTGCAAAACATTAACAAGGCTTAGTCGTGTTATAAAACAATAAGCAACCAAAGCTTACAATAATAGAGAGAGAGAATCAATGATGCAAACTAAACCTCATAAAAGCGTGCCAGCAACTGTACAATTGTACTCTTCCCTGCACCGCTTGATCCCACAAGAGCAGTAATAGTTCCACTTTTTAATGTAAGGTTAAGACCTTTAAGGACCGCAACATCAGGTCTCAATGGATAAGAAAAGTGGACATCTGCAGTGATGAGGAAATGTTAAACTAGTAGCTGGCATTTAACAGCAGATTAATTTTTCTAGTAGAAGTGACAGAATTGATTTTCCAACAAAGCTGAACATATAACAATGGCAAATTTTCAGGTTTGCTTCAAAATGAACTTCAAATGTCTCACTACTATTCAGTCCTTTAATTCTTATTAGTTGTGAAGTAAAAGGTTAGTCAACCACCCTTTAAAAACCAAGAGTGCACCAAACATGGTCTCTAGGGTAATGCTTATATGATCCCTTCATCACATGAGGCAATGGAGTATAAAAATTATAAAAGCAACAAATAAGGAAAACAAAGCGGGAGTGACTCACTTAATTTTAGATGTTATATGTCAGTTCTACAGACACTACTATATATTTCAGAATCCGAAAATTAACACCAAAACAACCAACAACTGAAGCAAAGAAGGTTCTCCAAAGGAGAAAGCCCCTCACCCCTGACATTACAAGGATTGTTGTTCAACATGAAACTATAAGGTATTATATCAATAAGGCACAATAAACATTCAAAGACCAAATTTTATGCAGGCTCAACAGTGTAAGCATATTAACATAGACAGCTAAGAAATTTTTGTAGGCTGTTCAACAACGTAATCAATAAGGAATATCTTTCATCTAAAATCTTGTCTAGGAAAGTATAGGAGCCCAGATGCTGTGGTGTTGACAGCATTTGGACTCTATGAACTCATAGTATTGAGAGTAATGCTGATAGCTTAATTGATAGGATTGGAGAGGAAATCATAATGATGATGTCTAAAATTGTTAGGTGGGGAATATATCAATTGGAATGCTTCCTACTATCTTCCTATAACAAGTTCATAGAGCAGGTCCTAGAAGAAGTGCTATGACTAGGGGGACAAGAAATCAGGACTTCCCCTCAATGGGCGCGTAACCTTCATTTTTGGTAGTGTAGCAATGGGGAAGCCAGGAAAAGCAGCTTGTAGAGGGCTTATAACTGCCTTCAAGAAAATGTTGAATATCTTGTTGGGGGCCCAGTTTCTAGTCCCCAGGAGTTAAGGATATAAGTGATGCTGGACTGCTTTCCTTATGCAAGCAAGGCTAATGCTACTGAGTACTGACTCACAACTGTAGTTCCCTGGATCAAGAAGCAGTAAAGACCTTGAGCAAACTGAAGAATATTTCAATCAGATGAATTGTTGTCTCGAATAGGTAGGAAAATTCTGTTTTTCATACTTCAAGATAGAAAAACAAGTGTTTCTCATACTGTAAAGGAAAAAAAAAGAGAAAAAAAATTTCTTATTGTTTAGATAGGAAGAATTTTAATAAATTTTTTGGGCACAGAGCTGCATAGCATAATCTCTTCTTTTTCCATTTAAAGGGCTTTAGGATGCATAATCTCTTCTTTTTCCATTTATAAGACTTTAGGATGCATGATCTCTTCTTATTCCATTTACAGGGCTTTAGGATGCATAACCTTTCCTTTTCCATTTATAGGGCTATAGGATTGGATACATCGCTAATGGACCGTAAATAGCCTCCTAACTGATTAATTTTTTGGAAAAATGGAAATAAATAATCCCACCTTTGATTGGTCTTCTAAACAATCCCACCTTTAATTTATTCCAAAACAATCCCACCTTTGACCCTCATTTTCTTTTAACAATCCTTTTAACCTACAACCTGTTAAACAGGTTAATTTATTTTATTTTATTTTATTTTAAAATTCTCTCTTCTCCTACCTCCCCACTCCATCCATGACCACCACCACCACCCCTACCCGAAAACACCTTCCCACAGTCCTGCCTGAACAACGCACCTCTTCCCCGCCCCCCGCTTTCCCCTTCCCGGCAGCCCCAGTCCCACCCATGCCTTCCTTTTCCCCGGTGAACCCACACCCCTAATCGAACCCAGAACCTAGCCCGCTTGTGAACTCAACCTTCTCCCCAACTGCGGCCACCACCACATCCCCTAACAAACCCCACCCTCCACGAACGGTGGCCAGCCCGCCACCACCTACACCCCCTAGTGAACCCAGCCCCTTGCAAACCCCAAATCATCTGTGTCCTAAAAGATCCAACCCCACTTCTCTAAATCACACTCAAACCCCAAATTACCTCAATTCAACAACATCGATTCCACCGTTTGATCAATACCCTAGCTGGGATATGATGATAAATTATGCTAATTTGATTGAAATTATGTTATTGTTATCTGAATGTTGATGGGTTATAATTTGATAAGGAGCATTGGATTTTGCATAAAGTTGAATGAGTATTACAATTGAATGTTGTGATTTTGATTGACGGGGTCAATTGAATAAGCCATTTGATCGTATGAACTGGTATTACCACCCACCTAGTCGGAGGTCCAGCGAGTCAATTGCATAAGCCCTTTGCTTAGTTGCTCTGCCTCACCCTCTCTCTTCCTCGCCTGAAACGCCGCCACCCAACCAAGTTGGAGGTCCAGCGAGTCTCTGGCGAGGTTGGGTTGGCTCTGGCAGGAGGAGAATGGTGAAGGCTGAGTGTTTTCAATTTTTTTTTAGTAATAAGAATTAAGAAAATAAAGACCAATATCAAAATGACAAGTGTCAAGTTATCTCCTCCAACAGGTTACCAATCTAGGGTTAGGGATTGATAAAAGAAAATGAGGGTCAAAGGTGGGATTGTTTTGGAATAAATTGAAGGTGGGATTGTTTTTAGAAGACCAAGCAAAGGTGGGATTATTTGTTTCCATTTTTCCTAATTTTTTTGCAGTTTTTTTTCCATATTTCCAGGGTCAAAAGGTACCCGGACAAAGCACATAAATGCTGAATAACAGGTACACAGTAGGGAGAGAGAAGATATACCAAGTAATTATAGCATCAACCTGACACAAGTACAAAAATCCAAGTTTGGGATACCTTCAAGACTAATGTCACCAGACCAGGCTACGTTATACACATCACTTGATGAGCCCAAGGCTGACATGTAATGCGTATGATTAGATTGCTGTTTCTCATCAAATCCATTGACAACAAATAATTGAAACTTTTCATCTTGAACATCTTTTGGTTGAATCTGTCTTTCTAAACCATAAGCAAGAGCTTCATCAATTTCTGACCCAGAGAGAATCGAATTAATCCTCTCGACAGCAGCAAAAGCCCCACGTAGATCTCCAAATGTATAAACCAATCCTTGAACCTGCATAGTATATATAATAAACATGGTTATAGGGGACAGTAAAATTTTTTAAAAAAAATGTTTAACAGCTAAATTATTAGCCAGAAGCAAGAACTCACAGCAAATGTCAGAGTAAAGGTATATCCGATGAAAGAAACCACAGTTCCAACTGAGAGTTCACCCTGCACATTCCGTTAAACCATACAAGTAGACAAATTAAACATGCTCAGAGTTTGAATTAATTGTTATGATACTAAGGTCAGAGATCATCGAGAAATAAATATATAATGAGGAAAAATAATATAGCTGCTAAACAAGTTGAGAAAGCAGCAAAACAAAAACCCTATGCTCTAAAAGATTAGTGCCCTCAGTCCCTCACTGGAAAACTGCACTCCTGTTTAAACATAAATGTCACACTTCTTAAAGAGGATGCCATTTAAAATTAAATAATTATTTAACCCATAATCAATTCTGCGTCAAATGACTCGCCTTTTGCTTCTGAAGGGCACAAAAAATTTGCCCACATACACTTCATAATTTAGATGCAAGTTTCTCATCCCATCAGTCAATAAAGACTTCCTATATTACCGTGCTTTACATTATCATATGGACAAATGAGTCTCTTTCATTCATGTTCATTTTCAATTTAATTCTAATTGATCCCTTTTCTTTGACCTTAATCACAAAAGCTTTTTAAAAAAGTCTGCTTCACCCTTCCAATAACCCACTTCAGCAAGGTGCTGTTGTTTCCTTCCCATTTCTCCTCAAAATTTTATAATATACGTAGTAGGCAAAAAGACATATATGAAACCTTCGACATAAGTCAAAAACATCCCGTACATGCATGTCAATCAAGAGGATTTATTGCAAAATATTATCATGGAAAAAGCAGGGAAAGAATATAATGAATAACAGGCCTGCTAAGAAAAAGGGCCAAAATTCTACTGGCATTGATGAAACCTCACCGCTTTAACTTTGTTTCCACCAAGGATATACAAAGCCAATAATGATACATAAACTGCAATTCGGGTCACTGATTCATTAATGGATTTGTAAGTCCCCAGCTTAATGCCACTCGCCTGATAAGCAAGTATCTGCCACATCAAACAGAATAAATATCAACAAACATAACACACAAAATCCCACAGAAACCAAAACGGGTTCCATTTGCAGACTCAAGGACATGACAGATAGATTACCTGGTTACCAAATGCTGACATTTGGCGCTTTTCCCCACAAAAGGATCTCACCTGAGGTATTATATCAAGAGTTCAGTACAGCATATGTGGATGGATCATAGATCCCATCACACAAAAGCCAAAGTTATAGTTTATGATTATCCATATCACCCTTAAAAGAGTTAGAGCTGGCATTGGATGCTAAAATGCTATAATGCACAACTGCAACTCACTGGAACTCACAGTGCGAATGGCCGAAATTGTTTCTGTCACACAGTCAGACATTAATGACTGTGCCAAACCATGAGCTTTAAAGATAGGCATAGTTGACCGCTTGTAAACAGCTGAAGAACAAGATGTTAAAAATAAATTATATAGGTAGATGGAAATCAGAAGAAAAGCAAGACTAATCTTCAAAGGAGTTAAATGATGATACTCAATGCAATTATGCAATCAAATCTACATCAATAATTACATTGAATTGAACTACATGATAAGAACATGCATCAAGATATATTATTGACTTAAAGAACATACAATTCTTTGATTTCAGCAAGTCAAACAACTAGATTTGGATCCATGTATTGTTTCAGAATGCATGTTTATGATGTTTGCAGTATAAGTATGGGTGTGTCATAGCAACACCGAGTTACAAAACACATGCACAATTGCACGCAAATGCACACATATAGATATGCTGGATCTCCTTCCCTCAAGTCTCAAGACTCTTAACCCTCGCCTCCATGTTGACATGTCAAATCTCTCCTTCTTACATTGTCAAATCTAATGGAGATCATATTTGGCCAGTTATGAGGTTTCAGTCTTCAAAATCTACATCCTTAGGTGGTGGTCATTGTTAAAGGGGTGAGTAGGGGTCAGGGGTGCGTTGTTGATTGCACAGATGGTAGGCATACAGGGCTTAGTTACTAGGAATAACAGATGAAGGGAGAAGGTGATGGAGAATTTGGGTTGGTGATGATAGCTTGGTAGGTAAAACTTGAAAGTGATTATGTTAAGAGCAATGACCTGCGATGGGGAAATACAAATTCTAGGGCAGCGTAGAGGAATCAAGAAGGCATTTGGGGTTAAAAGGGTACCCCTTTTGTTCTTACAAGGTGGGTTCTTGCCCGAGCCCACTCCAAAAGCTTAGCTTTAGCGATTACATACATAATAGAAAGTTATAATGATAAAGTAAAGAAAATCCTACCTTTACCTTAGGGTACATCCCCTATTGCCTTTCGTTCAGAAAAGGGATAATACTGGACCATTTTTTGTATTAGTATCAGTGGATGAAGAATCACGAACATCCACATTTCACCCTCGGACTTGTTCCTTTGTATGTGATTAGCAACAATGAGATAGGTTGATTTTGACTCAAAGAAGTGAATTAAAAAAAGGAAAAATTGTCAAAAATAATACAAACTTTGAGTGGTCCGCCACAAACAAGTCAATCTTTTAATTATTTCTGAATAATACAAACTTTGGGGAGTATCCGCTTTAAACAGGATATTTTACCTACAACCTATATAACCGGTTAACAATTTTTTTATATATATATATAATTCATTTAAGAATTTAATTAACGCCTAAGTACAGCTTTGATCATAGTTAATCAACAGTTAAAATAATTTTTTTAAGAAAAATAAAAAGTCCCTCCCTCACCACCAGCCACCCCTCCTCCCCAGCCCCGGCTGCGCCAACCCAGCTACCCCACTAGGTCGTCGGCCGCCGCCTACATCCTGCACCACCTCAAATCACTAACCTACACCACACCTAACTCCCCTGCATCCACCACCACCAAACCAGCAGCACTCCCCTGCTCCCTAACTCACACACCCACCACCTACCTCCCTACCTCACACTGATGCCCGCACAACCACCAAACCGAGCAATAGCAGTAGCCTACCCTTCTCCTCTCACCATCCAACACCGCAAGCAGCCACCTGCTGCAACAACCGCACCTCTGCCACCGTCTTCCCCATCGCAAACGAACAACCACAACAAGCAGCGCTGCTATCACCTCTCACTCCTCACCCCACGAAAAACCTACAAACCCGCTCCCCCATCTCCGAAACCCCCAAAAGCTCCTTCCCTGACCCTCGAATAATGGATAGATCAAAGTTCCTGGTGATGAAATTCTCATGTTGTTGTGGTGATGGTAGTGGAGATGGAGAACCGCCATTGTTGTTGTTTTCCTTGATTTGTTTATCGTTTGATTGATTTACAGTGACCTAATTTAATCCAGAAATTTCAAAATCAAAATCAGAAACCTCAATCGAAACAATCAAAAATGATTTTGATATCAAAATATACTGAATTAAGAAATTACACTGGATCGGTGTTGATATCGAAGAGGCTAGATCTACGACGGCGGTGATTGAGATTACTCCGTCAAGCATGACCGGCAACTTGCGTAGGAGTTCGAGTTTTGACGAAGTTTCTGGGCATGGTTGGGGGTTTTGGTGAGGGATTCGTGGGTTTTTCGTGGTAGGTGGCAGTCGGGGACGGGAGAGGGAGGGGGTATGGATGTCGGGGCTGGTGTCGCCGGCAAGGGGGAGGGGACTAGGTCGCCGGAGGGCCGAGCACGGGGTAAAAATATTATTATTATTATTATTATAATAATAATAATAATAATAATAATAATAATAATAAATATTATTTTATATCTTATAAAAAATTATAAACATTGAATAAATTCAAATTAAATTGTCTAACCTATAAAATAACGACACGTGTCTAATATACCTGCTAATCAAGTTACCAACCGGTTATAACTTGTTTAAAGTGGATACTCCCCAAACTTTGTATTATTCAGAAATAATCAAAAGATTGACTTGTTTTTAGCGGACCGCTCAAAGTTTGTATTATTTTTGACAATTTTTCCTTAAAAAATCTATATAAAAAAAACACACCAACAAAGGGAAAGGAGGTGGACAATTCCTTTTTTCATACATGACATCCTATGAGAAAATTTATGACATTAACATTTCGATGGAAATCTTTCAGAATATTCCAAACAATCTTTTCTTAAAAGTGAATCAACTAAGTATTTTACTCAAGTATTTAACAAGGTCAAAGATGATATTTTGTACACACTTCTAATTAGGGAATTGATATTTAATGAGAAAGATAAAATTACAAAAACAAAAATCAATAATAAAAAATTAAAAATTAAAAAAAAAATAAAAAAAATTAAAAAAATAAAAAAAAAAACCCTTACCTACTAAAATGGAGACAATAAGCATAAGCAAACCCAATATTGGTGCGAGTTGTGGTGAAAGAGTGAACAGGATGCAAATAGTTCCAACAATCTGAAAGTTATGAGGACGTCAAGAAATAAGAATCAACAAAAAAAATGCAGAAACATGTATGGATGAGATCATAGCATGTTACATGAAATGCAGGTCAAATAACCTAGATTATTGACAATCTTCAGTTGACTATTTTTATAATACAGTTAATAAAGTTATAAGGAGAGTATATCCACATTATTCTGATTCCTTTACCCTGTAGCAAGGGACTGAAGGCTCAGTCCACTTCAAATAAAGCTAGCTATGGATTTTACACCTTAAGAATCATTCCTGTTTAATTAAAGTAGCTTGCCTCAGAAAGTGCTCTGAATCCTCTGTCCCTTGAAACATTTTCACTGACAATGTCTTTAACAGACCCCAAATCAGAGGTCAACAATCCAGTCAGTTCCCCAACCTGCAAAATTTAGAAACCACAAACGTTGAAACTGAGATATTATAATCGTTTTAAGTAACCACGACTAATGCAACACATGAAGAAGAAAAAAGGGAAAGAAATCTAATGTCCATGAGACATAAGCAGATTTTTTAAAAACAATTATGAAATTCTAAGATATGAAATTTTCCATCTAAAACAACATAGTATGTCATATGCAATGAATAATCTGATTCAAAGTCCCATCACCAAAAATCTCAGAGAAAAATGAGAAACTTCGAGAAGTATGATCCCAAACATCGAAATGTGAGATATTCCAGGATCAACATGCTATAGAGCCAATAGCTGACTAAAGGAGAAAGAAACATATATATCATTAATACTCAAAAGCACCCTTGTGCTCTAATTATCAGAGTACAACCTTACTACAAGGTCAAGGCATCTGAAGGTGGAGAATACTTATGATTGGATGCACCTCATTTCTGGGGATAAAATGCATCCAGCACAAACTATGTTGCATCAACAATGGTGAAAGGCGACAGGAATAAAATATATATATTTTGCCAAGAACACACATAATATACACCATTTCAGAAATGTGCTGCAAGATCACCTAAAATAAAGGGGAAAAGAGATCGGCAGATCACTAACTAGAGCAACTCTAGAGATTGATAAGTATATGAAAATCACACCATACCTTGTAGCGGTCAAAAAATTCCACCTGCATGGAACAAATGGAAAAAGTGACAAATTAGAATTAAGCAACTAATGAATTTCGGAATACTACACGATGTCTTATCAAAATGTCGCAAATACTAAAGCAGACACAAATCATGAAATGTGAAAGGCAAAAGAGATATTGCTATAAATCATATGTACATTTAGGTGGCCCAATTTGGTATTTACATTTAACAATCATAACAGTGCTACAGCAAGGCATTAATGCTACTGCTTTTCAGGCATACATTATTCATGTTGGTGAAAAGGCAAGAAAAATTCAACTAATATATATGATCTTGCTTAGTACTGCAGTTTGGTCCATCCCACTGAAGTGCTCAAACCTCAAGATTACATAAAAATCAAATAATCCTATTCTACTAAGCAATTTGGTCCAGAGGCCAGAAAGTCATGAAATTGTTTTAATGGCGCTGCAAATTTATAGTAGCTATGTGTGCAGCTATAGTCGTTACATTTAATATTAGTGTACTTCTTACTGGTACAATACAGTCTCACATGCACATAAGTAGATACAACTACCATATTTCCTTGGGGGTCGTAATTAAGTATTAACACAAGCATACTACATTAATACTTCCTCCGTTCATTATTCATTGCAACAATTGGATTTGACACAAAGAATATAAGGGAGGAAAGTGGGTGAGGTGGTCCAACCTATACCCATGTGATTATATGATTAGAGGAGAAACAAAAGATGATAACCTAGGATAAAGTTGTAGCTTTTAGTGTGAATGTTGCCAAAAAGAGAGTTAAATTGATTATTGTGAAACTTCCATAAAAGGCAATTGTTGAATCAACTAAAGAACAGAGGAAGTAACAGTTAAATATGTTGTTCTGTACTAGATGGCTAGATGCATGATCCTCAATAATCCAATAACAGCTATATTACTTAACCTCTTTTGTCACCTATGTTATCCCTTTGATTTACTATCCCATAGATGACATAATATGTTTATACAAAACATAGAGAGGTTTCCTTGTTTCAATTGTTTTATTAGTTACACACTAGCATGGTATAAGCATATATGAAATTATAATGCCTAACAAGACAAACAATGAGACTGGATAATTTCAATGGGCTAGGATATGTAATGCTACCTTTTGAATTAACATCCTCCGGAATATCTGAGCTCTTAAAACAGACATAACCTTCTCCCAAATTTTGTTCATGTTTATGACAAATATCACAGTGAAGATTGGCTCTAATGAATATACAAATGCAATTTTACTCATTACTTTCCACAAAGGCTCGGGTGTCGTTCCTGAAAGAACTTCAAAAAACCTCCCTGCATAATCACGACACATAGAAGCATATAAGGGTTTTTTATTTTAGCAACCAAAAAAAAGATGTGGGGGGATAAACCAAATGTAAATCAAGTAGAAAGAAGATATATCAAGAATTGTCTCCATACTGTAAGAAGAAAGTAGCTATAGCACCATGCCAAGGACCAACAAAGCAGAGCCCCGGTGAAGAATCCTAAGCTGCTGACTGCTGCAGTGTCTATGTGATCATCTGGATCAAAAATTGAAAAACAAATGTTGTCCCTACCACTGAAACCCATTCTCAGCCATCTCCTTCACAATCATAGTGGCACCAGGAAGGTAAGGGGACACAGGGTACGAGGAGATTGGATCTCAAAAGAGATGTTGGGTTAGAAATTGGGGTAGAAAGTACATGGAAGTTTTCTTTCTTGAGGTAAGGAAGATCTGCTGCAAGAAAACAGTCTTTCCTTCACTGGTAACTGTTTAGCCTCCAGAGGTGATATTTTTCCTACTACTAAAGATGGCAAGTTGGCAAATCAGCAATAAGGATGAGGCAACGGAAAGTAGACTGGAAATTGGCGTAATGTGTTAGTTGCATATGTAATAAATAACGGTTAAACCTGAGATATTTGTGCTAAATCACATCTTTATTACCACAACTATGGAAATTATGTCAATAAACATTCATCTGCTGCATTTGATCGAGATATTGTAAATTTAGTAGAAGTTGCATTGATATTAACAAAATTAGTAAATTTAGTAGAAGTTGCATTGATTTTGTAAAGTGACATTTAACACTATATCTTGGATTTTAGAGTGAGAAAAGCCGAGCTTCAATGCCCCAGCAACAAGAAAAGGCGACAACTAGGGAGCTTAACTGCTTAAGAGTTGTCCAACTCAATATACTATTCATCTAATCTTCTCTAATGATCAGCTACATTTACATCAAAACGATTCAATATCTATCTCTTTGTTTCATGAATTACGAAGTACAAACAATCATAACATAACTGAAAACCCTAAATTATCATTAAACAATTGAAGAATTAAACAGTACCTGAGAAAAGAGGCATAGAAAGGGTACAAGCAGTACCCCCAACAAGAGCAGAAACACAAAGAGCAAGCCGCCATTTTTGGTCCACCAACAAATTCCAGAAAGTTCCCCAACTAATCGCAACCTCTGGTTCAACTTTCTCTCTTTTAAACCCCTCGACTTTCGGGTCCGGGTTCGGGTCAGTTACCGAATAGTCTGAAGCGGGTCCGTGTACGTAAGCTGCTGGTGCCCATTTCTGCCTCGGAGTTGACAGTCGGAGGTTGGTGGTGCGACGGAGGTGGGTTGAGGAGAGAGAAAATGGCGGGAAGTGATGTGATTGGATGCGGGGGTGAGAGAAGTGGAAGTGTGTGCAGGTGATTGATGGGGAGGAGAGAGAAATTGCCGTCATTTGTGAATGGGGATAGCTTTCTGTAAGAGACTGTGTCTGTCGAGTGTCGACGGTTGAACATACCCGATATAATATTTGCCATTTTAATGCACGTGATGTGCGCTTTAAATTAGAGCGATTCAACAAGGTTAATAATAACTAGAGATTGTTTATTACACTTAAAATGTTATATATGAACAATAATCATTCGGCAACTCTCCGAAATCTATTAACTAATACTAAAATAAAACGTTGCTGACATCATCAACCCCTTTCCATATCCTATGTGTCGCTTCCTCATTAAAAAAAAAATCCTGCCAATTTAGTGTATGATGTCATTATTGTTTTTTTAACTTTTATTTTAAAAAATCTACAATTTATGGATAAGCTCGATCATTGTTTAACTGATTTTATGGATAATGTCAATCTTTGATTTCTTCAAAATACTCATTTGATTGTGGAATAAACAATAAGAGAAAGAAAAGAACAAGTAAAAATTTGTAGTCCAGCTAAATGAAAAATATGGTCAGATTAAAGTTTATAAGTTACTTATTTCATACTTCGTATAATATAATTTAGGAAAATTTACTTATCATCACTCGTGCAATGCACAGGTACTAATCTAGTTTATAATATATCAGAATAAAGAATAATAAACAGGCTTGAGTTATTATAAACATTAATATCTATACTATCAAATAGTAAGAGGTAGAGGCCCATATTAGCAATCCAATCTACTACACGATTTGGCTTTTGTAGATAAGTTGGATGCTTCAATTGTGAAGCTGAGTGAGGAGAAAACGAATGCCTTTGATAATATGATTTGATTTGCCAAGGGACTAACCAAATGTCTTTTATTGAGTCAGTCACTAAAAGGTTATCACCTTCAATTTAAATGTTTTGAATGATTGGCACAATGAAGAGCTAGTTGAATTCATTTATGAATAGTTGTAGCTTTTGCTAAAGATTTTTGGTTTTGCCGATATTGAATGTAAATGTCTTGATGATGACTCCACTGATATCTCTGATGATGACTCGTGTTGTTGCGAACTGAATTAAAATTTCTAATGAAAGAGGAAAACTGTTGAAAAAAAAAAGTACAGTGTATCTAATACGAAGTGTATGTGAAGAATGAAGTAAACTGCAAAGTTCTCAATTTTATTTTATTTTTTGCCCTTAGAAATGGTTTACTTTAACTCCTGAAAAACAAAATAGGAAATATTAAGTCGAAAATGAATACATAAAAAGACATAGAAAGATTAAAGAAAAGCACAATAAGATAACAAAGTAACACGCGGCATTATAACATACAAACTTCATGTTATAAGTATATGTTGGGTTAGTGCGACCCGAAAAATTCCATAACCTCAACTTATTATGTCTCAAGGATTTCAAATTCTCATACGTTGAGAAATTGACAGAAAAATGTGGGAAAATCTAGAATTGGTGAATGGTCATAAAGGTTCTAGATTAACGTGGCAATTTAAAGAATATGCAGGTAGAAGTTTTCACACACTACTTCCACCTCCATACATCACCTATAAATATTGGTGTTGGGCATCATTTGGGTGCAATGTATTCACCTACATCCTCCTCCAATGCTCCGACCTTATACACTCATATAAGTGTCCCTCCGTAACAAGAAACCTTGTTATAAAAATTTATTGTTACTATGTATATAAATTTCATCTTAAGAGATAGTGACATTTCCTAAAAAAAAAATAGACAATAATAATAACATTAATTATAGTAAAACAAAAAACAGTAATCAAGTAGCAAAACACAATAAATGAACTAAAAACACACACAATAAAGGAAGAAGCTAGAGGAATATTGGATGAAAAGAAGATGATAAGTGAGTTGTAAAACTAGGTGAAATATATATATATATATATATATATATATATATATATATATATATATATATATATATATATATAGAGAGAGAGAGAGAGAGAGAGAGAGAAAAAATAAAGAGGGCTCAGGTAATAGAAGAGAGATAGAAAATTTATTAACTAAAAGAGAAAGTGATGCATCTAAATAAAAACTTTATAAAATTTTAATCTAAGCTATTCACAATTAAAACTATAATATCACCCACTGAAGCCACTGTCGCCACCATATCACCACCAAGATCCACCCACACCACCTTTCCAATCACTCAGTCAGCTCAACCATCTTAATTTGAACCATCGTATGTATCTTCGAAACCACCCTAATCACCTCTAAAAATCTTATCCAATCAGAAAAATTCATTCCATTAACTTGTTTCTTTTCTTCCGAACCTCAATAATGCGAAGTAATATATAAAATACTCCCATTACCATAATATCTAAATTAATTTGATAACACTCTTATTTTCTAATTGATTCAATACTCCTTGTATCTGGCTGCTCCCTTCGCAAGGCTGCTTTACTTATTACTCTCTGTCTCTCTTTACCTCTAGCTATCCTTAAATTTAATATTCTTTATATTCTCAATATTAAATGATCGCAAAACGCAAATGTCTCCATATTTTTAGAAATTCTTATATAATGATGTTTTAATTAAATTATGGTCGTTCATATAACCATTAAAAAAGTAAAAAATAAACTTGAATACGTATTACACCAGATAGTATATACTCGTAATTACTTGGCCTTATCTCAAATCAAATGTCATTCTCCAACCTTAAAATTTAATCGTAACACGTACACCCGTCTCACACGAAATCAATGACCCGACCTCGTGGCAAACAAAACTAAAGATACCTTAATCAACCACAAATCTACACCCACGTGTCAGGTGATACTCTCAAAAAATTATTGTACAGAAAATTAGTTTTGTCATTCAAATCATGATTTCTTCCCATTTACCAAAACCCCCCAAAAACCAAACTCCACTCCTCATTTCAATAAACTAACTTCCGTACCATTTTCCCAAACTAATTTTATTGTATCTCTCTCGTTTTTCTCCCACTTGTCTTCTTCCCAATTTTTCCGCGCAATTAAATAAAATAAAAGAATAATCAAAAAATCCCACAAAATCTGTTTTTTTTTTTTTTCCTTCCTTCTCTATTTTCTCTCTCCTCCGAAAAATGTGATTGTAAATCGCCTGACTTTTGCCGCCATAGCTGATAAAGCTTGATCTCTGTATACCTTTTCTCTCTCCTCTATTTTTGTTGGTTTTTCCCAGATGGCAATTTGTCATTGGTTGGTTGTTTTCTTTGCTTTTTTCGGCATTGCTCGTGCTCTTAAAGCCACTGAAGGTGATGCTGATCCAATTTACAGGTTGTCTAATCTTTGCTTTACTTATTTTTGTGGTTTAATTTTGATGGGTTTAATTTGATTTTGTTGATTATTTGGTTAATTTGCAAATGTTCGTTGTCGTTGTTGCTGCTAATTAGGGTTTTAATTTTTGTTGTTTTTTGAATTTGAAATTTGGGAATTGATCGATTATTGGAATTCATGGTGTGATTGGTGACATCAAGTTTACTGATTTGATTGGATGGTTTTTTTTGGGATTAAAAAGTGGGGGATTTTTAAAAAGTGAGTTGAAGAATGTGATTTAGTGGGGTTCTGAGTTGGATGGATATGATTAAGGTTTTATCTTTTTTAGAAGAATTGATGCGATGATTCAATGTTACGATTTTATTCTACCCTGAGTCTTTTGGCAATGGGTTGTTTGACCTACATACTGAGATTACTGAATTATTAGATCTTAGGTTTTAGTGGTCAATGAGGGGTGGGGTGGCGGAGGGGAATGTTAAAAGTTGATTATACCCCGCGTTGTGGATGGAGTTGTTAGACTTTTTGAAATTCCATGTAAGGTTCCATCCTGAAACCAATTGGAAATTATGGGAATGCCAAAGTTACACTCTAGCCGTTTAATGTAAATGTTCCTCTTCGATGCGGGACTATTTATAAGTCATTAGCTCATTACTCGTAAGCTCGTTAAGTTGAGCAAATTGGATAGCTAATGACATCCTATTGGGGGTTGAGCATCCGATAGATATAAAGTTCTTGCCTAGTTGCTTGACTGACAATCTTGAAGAAGTGCATTGGGTTCTAATACCTTTTTATTGCACAGAAACTCTTCAAGGTAGGATGAGAGGCATCAGGATGAAGAAATGTTATACTTACTTCCATGGCTTTTTGTCTAATTGCCTTTATAATAATTTTGTTTTTTGAGTGACTGTTCTCCTAAACTTCTTATATATCTAATAAAAAGTATATTACGAGCCAATTCAGTGGATGATTGATCCTGTAGATTGTCAATTATGTTCAATATAGTGTTGATGTTAGAAAAGAGTTCTGGCAATATTTGGGCATTATTGTTGATGATGTGGATTTCATAGCTTTCATTGACTTTGTTTTATCTTTGTTGCTCGTCGTTATCTTTTCTCTTGCTTGACTGTTTGGTACAAAGCTTCTACTGATTATATATCCTGTCATGCTTTAGGGGTTGTGTGGAGCATTGTCAGGAGACCGGTTGTGTTGGAAGCCATCAGTGCTTTCAACATTGCATATTCACTGCTGATGGTAACATTTCTGATGGTCGATGGTACCTTCAAGAACCTCTCTATCTGAAATGGAAACAGTGGGATTGCCACAGTGATTGTCGCTACTATTGCATGCTTGCAAGGGAGGATGAAAGGAGAAAGCTTGGAGAGAATCCTGTCAAGTATCATGGAAGATGGCCATTTCGTCGTGTATATGGAATCCAGGTTCTTATGTATTTCCCATTTTAAAAATATGGTAAAGTATTATAGAGTACTTTATAATTTTGTTTATTCTTCGATTATCATGTTTAAAATGATTTCCACTTGTTTTTCCAGGAACCTGTTTCTGTATCACTTTCGGCACTGAATCTTGCTATACAATTTCACGGTTGGATATCTTTTTTCATTCTTGTTTATTACAAGTTGCCTTTAACGGATAAGCGGAAGACATACTATGAATATTCTGGTTTGTGGCATATCTATGGTGTCTTGGCAATGAATTGTTGGTTCTGGGCTGCAGTTTTCCACAGTCGGTGAGTACCCATCCTTTTGTATTTTTCTGTGTAATTCATTTATTAAATTATGCATCTGCTGTAGCTGTAAGATATCCCTGAATTCACCATTCTTAGCTATGTATGTTCTTGATAGCTTCTAAATACTTTGATGTTGATTTTTGGCATCTTGGCAAACAAGTGCAATTCAAGATTGATTTTTTCACTCTAAAGGTTCTCTCACCAATAGAAAGGGAAAAGATATAGGCTAGAACGAACAAGGCTTTTATTTTCTTATTTTATATAAAGTTGTTATATTGAAAGCGTAAAACTGGGAAATTTGTGGCTTGGTGGTTGCTATCTGTCATTAATACAGTATAACAAGAATTACTGATTGTCTAAACCTGTTAGACTACTGCTGCACGTGCATGTCCTTATGCTTATAGTCAATGATATGGAAATGGGTTGGCATCTGTAACCTTTCCTCCTTTTACAGAGATCTGGACCTGACAGAGAAGCTAGGTTACTCCTCAGCTGTGGCGTTGCTTGGCTTTGGTCTTATCCTGGCTATCTTTCGAGTATTTGAGATAAAGCGGGAAGCCTCCAGGGTTATGGTTTCCGCACCACTAATTGCATTTGTGACGACACACATCTTGTATCTAAACTTCTACGCTCTTGACTATGGTAATTCTCTCTTTCATTTTTTGATCTATTTATACATTGTTGATTTATAAGGAAGTTTGATGATTTACAAAGCAATGGTTGAGTTTTCAACTGCTGCCTTTTCTCATTCATACATGATTAGTTCCATTTCATTCATATGTCTCATGAAGTGGGGAGGAGGATCGAAGTACCTGTCCTTAAAATGCCTCAAATGAGGCTCTCGCTTCTTCTAGGTTGGGGTTTGGGCCCTCGGGTGAAACAGAGCCTTATGCATACAAATGCAGAGAGCCTCTTTGCCCTTAGAATTGCCTATTAGTAATTCACAGAAAAATATGAAATAACGAAAAAGCAAATTAACCTAATCCTTGAGATCCAAAGTCGAATATTTTGATCATTGAAATTTGATTATAAATATTACTCCTACCATACAATATAAACAGTGGCTCATCTGTGAAATTCTCAAGTATTTAACTATGTATTACTGACCTCTCCAAAAGGTATTTTTAGCACGGTGGCCAATTGGCTTTGGTCCACATCTGCTTTTGCTAGAGCTGTTCCTATAGCCTAATACTGGTATTTATTGCACATATTTCCCTTCCCATGATAATGGTGGCTTTAGGAGGGAATTATGAGTAAACTGATGAATCTTAGTTGTTTATAGGCTTAGTTATTCTCTTGACTCTCAGTTCCAACTTGCATGTAAATTATTAGTATCTTGATGTATCATGATTACTTATCTGAATTCCATTTCCTCTGTGTCCATCAGGTCTGAACATGAAAGTGTGCCTAACCATGGGTTTGGCTCAGCTCCTTCTGTGGGCTATATGGGGTCGTGTGAGTCAGCATCCTTCACGTTGGAAGTTATGGATTGTAGTTTTTGGGGGAGCTCTTTCTATCCTCTTGGTGATTTATGATTTTCCACCTTACTGGGATTTTGTGGACGCCCTTGCTGTGTGGCATGCCATTAGCATTCCTCTTTCCTACATTTGGTGGAGCTTCATTAAGGATGATGCAGAGTACAGAACATTGATTCTATTGAAGAAGGCCAAGTAGAAAATTCTGCTCCGGCTTGTATACTGAGTAGATTCGTGCTGTGATCTCAGCTATTTCATCCGTTTTTTCTCTCGCCATTGTGCATCTCTCTGGGATGCTTGCATTGGTGGGTGGTTTCTGCTTTGACACCCCTTGGTGGCCAGAAGAACGGAGTTTGTTTCCACATTAATGTGTAATGTGTTGACTAGGATTTTTGTTGAAGATGTATAGTGTAAACATTGTTTGGTCTTCCTCAGTTCTCTTGTAAGTTTTTTCAGCTTAGTCTGATTGACTATCTGAGTATCTGTGCACTCTGTTCAAGATTCATATCTTTATTTGGCAATATGGGGTTGTTATCTCTGTTACAAAAAGTTTCATCTATTTCGGTACTCTGTTATATATCCTGGCCTTTATTTATTATTACCTTTTCTTTTGTGGGAGACGTGTCATACGTGTTTGTTGGGTGATCATTTTTAATTTTCATGTTTAAGTGTTTCACTGAACTAACTTTTAGTAGGTTTCTGAGATCATTATTAGAAATTTGATCGGTTGATGTTGCTGGATTTGGTACAATTTTTATGCTATATGGTCAAGTTGTGTTGGATCGATAAATCTCTACATTTATGTATGAACTTAGAAGTGTATTATTTGTTACATATGGGTTTTAACAAGTTCAAACCATGTTATTGCTCGGTCCCAGTGGTCACCCCAGATTATGTAATGTAACTGGCAAAAAAATTAGTTGGGTACTCTGGTTTGGTTACTGGTTAGTTGTTTACTTCTCTTTTTACTACGGATTGAAAGTCAAAAGCACAAAATAGCTAATGCAATTATTGGGAATTTGTCATATATGTCCCAAAGACATGGTGATTAGATTTTCAATCTTTTCATATACTATTCAATCCCTCTTTATCTTCCTTAATTTCCTCTTCATAACCGCATCTTCATCATCCCAACACCATAGTGAAACTAATGATGATGCTCTGACAAGGCTCGCCTTCAACGGAGATTCTAACTTCATACACGGTTGATAAATACAAGATGATTATATTGAAGGTAATTGTATAAATAAGTGAATTTTATTTGATTTGTTTTTATATAAAGTGATGTGATATGCTATGATTAGCTTGTGATTTTTGCAATTAGCCTTTTATGCTTCGGTTGATATATGTTTGTACAATTTGAATGCAGGGAGTGTTGAGGCCAAATTTGTAGCTACTAATTTCTGTAACTATGCGCAATAATTTTCTCAAAGAAATGTGACATTAATATACCTCATTCTACCTTTCACCCTTTTTCTGTTAATTATTAAACGTATATGCTTCCTCAATTCTTTAATTGAGCAATTAACTTAACTAGCTGTTAATTACTCTTGCTTATAAGTAATACTACGGAGTTTATGCTTGGCGGTTGGCATTCAGGAATAGGATCATTTAAGCCTGTGTCTATAAAGGTGACTGAAATTTGCCAAACATATGAAAGATCATGAGTTATCAGTTATCTTATCTTGGAGATATTTATGCAGTATGCTATACTCCATCCCTTTGTTTTGCTCCATATAGATTTAAAGTCACATTTTAAATTTTTGGTTGGGAGACAATGATGAGAGAGAAGTGGTGGGACCAAATATAGTCACATTTTAAATTTTTGGTTGGAGTAAAAAACGGCCTGTTTGGTAGGTAGTCATAAATGATTCTAATGGGAATGAATTTGTATCTAAATTTGTAAGGTTCATGCCCATGAGTCCATGACAATGCTAGTTCACCCTAAATTGTTCATTTTTCTTTATAAATTTTCATTCCCGCCTAATACCTCCTCCCAAGTGGTAATGAAAAAACATGAAGAAAACACATGCATGAGGATGAAATTGCATTATCATGGGAATTACGATGTTATACTCTTACCTAACTTACTCTTAAAATTCATTTCCATTGCGGCCAATATAATTGCCTACCAAATGGACCGTAAGTGACAAAAGGACTGGTTTATAGTATACTCCACACTGCTTTGTGTAGATCTGTTATATGTTCAGTCTGCAGTGGGACTGAGAGTGGCAGTTCTGCTACTACAGCGACACTGCCAATGAGTTCTATGACTTCTATCCCTCCGAGGTTTGAGGCTTTTTTACCTATGCATTCAACTTCAGGTTCTCATCTTCATCTGCTATTTGGGTCAAGGCTTAAAGGACATTCTTGCTAACCTTCCTAGCATAAACTCAAAGAAGTTTACTCATTCAAAGTCGTTATGTGATGTATGGATTTGTAATCATAGCAACTGTGTTTATTTCAATACAAAGTTTGAACTAGAAGCTAGAATCAAGAAGGAATCAATGCATCTAGTTGACATTATTCTGTCTTGTGATGCACTCTTATTAGTTACACACCTGATATTTCTGAATCGAATTTTATTTTCCATTCCTGCTTTGAGTACTTTATATTTCTGAGAACTTTGTATGCATTTGTTGTTACAGGCTTACAGCCTTACAGGTGATTGAGGTTTGAATTATAAGCCAACTGATATTATTAAGAGGCACAAGTGCAACTTCAAACTATGATTGAAGGTAGGTTTTTGGTGCTACAAAGCCTAAAATCTTCTTTGCATTCTTATTTTTGGCATTAAAGTACTAAATGTTGCATTTTATCCCAAAAGTTTTGGCCTTTTGATGATCTACGGACCATGGATAATCATCGATAATGGAAGAACCATAGATGGTCTGTCTTTACTAATTGTTGTTTTATGCATAGTTTACTCAGGCAAGCAGAACTAATAGAATAGATGATCTACGATATGATAATAAGACATTTTGGGAGTCGAGGGAATAAGAGAGTTGATTTTTGTCTGTGTTTTTATTTTTAATAGTGTTAGCGACCGAGCTATGGGATGGAACAAGTTGAGGCATTTGGTTGAAATGAAGTTGGTGGATCATACACGGAGTCAGACACATGAAGTAGTCTTCTTTTTCCATTCCATTCATTGTAAATCATTGCATTCTTGAAATGAAGTTTGGAATATTCTATTGGTCATTTAGTTAACAAGGGAGCCTGTTACCAATTTTTAACCTTCCTTTCCTTACCTCCATCTATCATTGAAAGTGTTGGCGCTCGCTGCTAATGCAGCAAGGGACAACGACGGAACAGGATTAGTACAATGTCAAATTCAGTGAGCTCTGTGATGTGACAATTCCTGTTGCGGCGGAGTTGTACAAAAGGATTTACACCTAGGTACTAGCTTTTTTTAAGAATTTGTTTTAGTTTTGAAGTTCATATAATAAATGTATAAGCTTGAATTTGAGCATTCTGGTTTGAAATCTTAATGCCAAATTGTTGAAGATTGTTTACAGTGATTATTCTTCGTCTTCTGGTATTTACTTGAGATTTCAAAAGTTACTCAAAGTTCTATAACCTATGTTACTCGCACTCTTCATTTTACTTTAACTACTCATGTCGGACTCTTGACACTCAAACATGAGTATGACACTTGGACACTTCATTTTAATTTAAAATTATTGAATTTTTTTCACAAAATAGCCGAGTCGGACACTTAGACATGTACCCGTGTCGAACATGGATACCCGAATCCGAGTAATATAGTCTATAACTAACTAGAAGTTAGTATGTAATCTTTTCCTAATATATTTTGTTCTCAAGTACAACCAAATTAAGTCTTCCATTAAGTGAAGAGTCACTGTGTAGGGGGAATGCGCACATCGTATGTGGTCCAACAACTAGTAGTATTACTGTATTAGTAAAGGTGAATAGGTGATAACTGCATCCTTTGGAATGGGTCATGTCCCGTTGACAAATTGTTTTATACGAGTTGGATTTGGTTAGATTATATTCGAGTCAATTGTAAATAGTTTACATACAAAAATCATGAAATATCATATACTCCCTCCATTATTTAATTTTAATCGTAAAAATGTTTTAACATGTTCAATGCTCAACTTTAACTCTTGTTATATTTGACTATCTATAACTCTGTAGCAAATATTTTTAAGTTTTGAAGTTTAGAACCTATACATTGAGTCTAATCTAATAATCATTTCGGATGTTATAATTTGTTTCTAATATTATTCTCTCTGTCTCTAAATCATATCTTGAGTTTATTTGTGAGACAATTACTGGGTCTAGATAGAAAAAAATTATAAAAGACATTCCCACAATCATGAATAGTACAAACGTGATATTATGAAAGAATGGAGGTTGTATAAATCAATGCAGAATGCTGCGGCTGCCTGCCAACAGCATTAGGCCTCCTTTCTTTTTGGAGCCATCCACCAGGCCAATAATTATTAGCAGTTCACTGTTATTACCATTACAGTTAACTATAACCTCTTTTACAACAATTTAAACTTCCTTTGATGTGAACTCTCCCTCTTTCTGGTACCCTTGAACCCAATAAAATTGCACCAGCTAATATTTCTAATACAAAAGAGTCTTATTTCAGCCACAATTGCTGTCTTTTTCTCTCTGGATCCTTCTCCTCCCTTTATACACGAGATCTACCTGGGCCATATGCTCATATATGCTTCCTTTCCATTTCTGGTTGGGTCACAAGATGTTTCTTTTTCAATTTTCTCATCAATCTGTGGATTGCGCACCACTTCCGTTGTCATTACTTATAATGTACAGACGTTTAAGAATATATATATATATATATATATATAAGATTCAGAAACAGGTATACCCTTCCAAACATAGCTTACCAGCTTGCAAAAGTAAAAATAAATTAGAACACTTCTTTTACTACAAAAAAAAAACTTCTGAATCTTGAGCATAAAGAATAATTTTGACTCTAGAGCACGCGCATACTGAAGCATGTGGGTGTGGCTTTCCTGTATAAGAACATTCTTCAAGCGTTTTTGCACAGTTGAGCTGAGAATTGATCATGGTAGCAGCTATGACAGCGTTTTTTTCCAATGATATTTTACCGTCTCTTGGAGCTCGAATCAACCAAGCTGTCAAGCTCAATAAATATGTCATCTCACCATTCAATCCTCGCTACAGGTGAGATAACAAAGTAGGATTAAACATTAAAGCATACACTCTACTCTATCAAGGTTTTTAGGAATTCAACTGACATAACATACTTCACTGCTGTCATCTTTCTGTAAATTCTATCAAAGTTGAGAGTAAAGTGAAAAGGTTCAAACTTTCAGGGCATGGGAGATGCTGCTAATAATCCTGGTTGTGTATTCAGCATGGATCTGTCCATTTGAGTTTGCATTCCTCGTATACAAACAGGATGCACTCTTCATCATTGATCACATCGTGAATGGCTTTTTCGCAATTGATATAGTTCTCACCTTCTTTGTTGCATATATTGATCGTACAACTTACTTACTAATTGATGATCATAAAAAAATTGCAATCAGGTTAGTATAAAAGTATGCAGCAGTTCGGGTTCCATCCGTTTTAGATACTAAAGTTGGACTTAAAGTTAACTAATTTTTTTGTATAGGTACCTGTCAACTTGGTTTATTTTTGATGTCTGTTCGACAGCACCACTTCAGATGCTTAGCCTTCTCTTTACGGACCACAACGGTGGACTAGGTTTTAAAGCACTTAACATGCTTCGACTCTGGAGACTTCGGAGGGTCAGCTCCCTCTTTGCAAGGTCTGTAATCAAACTCAAAATTAACTGATGAAGTAAAACTCTGGATTAGACGACAGTCTTACAGTACTCCGTAATTTTTTGCAAGAGTACTAGGTTGATTTGAGTTTTTAAGGAAAACTTTTAGTAATGACTTTTTACGTTTCTGAAGGGTAACTTTATACCATCTTATACTTTGTATATGATTACTATGAGACGGTTTCACCTAAGACTTGCTAGGATTGTTAATTATCCCCAGGCTCGAGAAAGATATCCACTTCAACTACTTTTGGACCCGTTGCACCAAACTTGTCGCAGTAAGCCATCATGAACTTCGCTTACCATTTCTGTAGTCAACTTTATTGTAATAATTGTTAACTTTAATAAGTGGTATATTTTCTTTTGACTTCTATTGAATTACAGGTAACACTATTTGCTGTTCATTATGCTGGATGCTTCTATTACCTGATAGCAGACAAATACCCTGATCCATCAAAAACTTGGATTGGTGCAGTGAACCCGAACTTTAAATCACAGGGCGTATGGAAGAGATACATTGCTTCACTTTACTGGTCTATTGTGACACTAACAACCACTGGCTATGGTGACCTGCATGCTGAAAACACTATCGAGATGCTGTTTGACATCTTCTACATGCTATTCAATCTAGGACTCACGTCGTACATCATTGGAAACATGACAAACCTTGTTGTTCACTGGACAAGTCGCACCAGAAATTTTGTGAGTGGCTCAATAAGGCTAGATATATAAGATTTCATTAGAATTAGAGCAAATGAACAAGTGCTCATGTTTAATGGTTCTGCAGAGAGATACAGTCAGAGCTTGTACAGAATTCGCAGCACGCAATCAACTTCCTCCTAGAATACAGGACCAAATGCTATCACATGTATGTCTGAAGTTCAAAACTGAAGGGTTAAAACAGCAGCAGACCTTAAACAGTCTTCCCAAAGCTCTCCGATCCAGCATTGCACAATATCTTTTCTTTCCTGTTGTTCAGAAAGTCCAACTTTTCTGTGGAGTTTCTCAAAAATTTCTCTTACAACTGGTAAGACCTCTTCCAGCTTGACAAACTTTAAAGCTGATCTTATTTTCCAATCAGTATACATGCTTAATTTCTGCTGCACTCTTGTATACAGGTTTCTGAAATGGAGGCGGAATACTTTCCACCTAAAGAAGATGTGATTTTACAAAATGAAGCGCCAATGGATATATACATTCTCGTATCTGGTGCAGTGGTAAAGCTTTATTATTTCCAGCACTTTATGGCTAAATAATTAACTGTTAGCTACCTAACAGGCTAACAATTAATCAAATCATCAGAAAGACTTATAGACTTATGAAATGTTATCTTTTATTCAGGACATGGTGGCACACATTAATGGGCGTAATCAGGTAATTCTGCTGTCAATTTAACAGAGACAGTATGCAAGGAAATCAATTTTCAGTCTTAACTTCGAAAATTATACTTTGCACTCAGGTTGTTCAAAAGCTACTTGAAGGGGAAATATTTGGAGAGATAGGGGTTCTATGTAACAAGCCTCAACCATTCACTGTCCGGACTTCAGAACTGTCTCAGATATTAAGGTTAAATAGAACATCATTTACGAATATTATTCAAGCAAACAAAGCAGACGGACACATCATCATGAGCCATCTATTTACGGTGAGGAAGCCTAACCTATACCCCCTCCATTCTCATACAAGTAAATTCCAAGATTGTATGTTAAATTATACTTTGTAATAAATGGAATAAAAATCTGAGAGCTAATTTGTTAGTTAATACGGAATGGAGTAACAAACTTGGCCCTTGTTTAGATGAGAGTACCAATCTAGGTGTTTGCCTTTTTTATTCTGCAGAAACTAAATCATCTAGCAAACCAAGGTTTGTTGGAGCAGCAAGACATTGAGGAATATACTTTTGGGGAGCGGTTTAATAGCCAGCATAAATGTATTACATGCTTAAAATATGGAAGTGGACACCAATTTCCTGAAAATCCCTCCATGCACAAAGGATGGAATGCTACATACAAAGTGAAAACTCAAGAATATCATGATTCAGTCACATGTGGCATGGAGGCAGCATCAGAAAACTTGAGATCAAACAACTATATAGAACATCCTGGAGCAGCAATTACAAATGTTAACAAGATTAGAGTGATCATTCACATGCAGTCGCAAAGCGACAGTAGTATGGAAGGGAAACAGTTTGGCAAACTGATAGTCCTGCCAGATAGCATTGAAGATCTGTTCAATATTGCAGGTACCAGTCAGTCCCTACTCATTGACAATCAAGCGAACCTCATCTTTTCCTTTAACATTATTCGAATACTTGATTGTGTCTTTCTGATGACAAATTCTACCCTTGTGAACTGCAGGCCAGAAGTTCGGGCAATGCTTCACAAAAATTATCAGTACAGAAAATGCAGAAGTAGAAGACATTGGTGTGATCAGAGATGGAGACCATCTAATTTTCCTGCAATAACAGTGACAGTCAAAACAGTTGGATGTAATTTAGTGGTACAGGTAGAGTGCAGATTTGTAAAGCAATGCAACTCTTTAGAGTTTAGACCTTCCATATAATTTTGAAAGGAGACTAACAATTAGTCCATTATAATTGGATTTAGTCGTTACACTCTTAATGTGTGTAATTTGAACTAGTAATGCGAAAATTCTTTTTTGTTTGGCAGCTGAGGCTCGTATAATCCGTACAGAGAGTACAAAGATTTACGAAGTATCAT